AAACTCTTACTAATTAACAAGCCAACCTATTAGAGCTGACTAATAGAGCACCATTTAGTGTTCTTGAGCAAAACCAATGAAATTTTAATATTAAAAAATAAAAGAAAATGAAAATAATGAAAAATAAAAAATGAAAAATAAATAAGATAAATTTAAAAGGATCAAAAAATCAACACTAAAAATGACCCCTCCAGCTATCAATATCAAAGGGCATGCATATATCGGGAATTGATCCTCTGTGACTAAAAGGTCAACAATCCTATATACAAAGAATTATACATAAAATAATAATGAACTATTGTTGATGAAACAATGAATGTCCCACTCAATGTTAAGACCACACGGTGAGTAACTCTTGAGCTGATAAATCCAGCTGGTCTCGGCTTTAGAAATAGTTCTTTCAGCATTGCTCCCTCGCCAATCCGAAATGTATTTCTCTAAAGCAATAAAGGTAGTACCCTCAGGATTACTATTATGTTTCAGTGCATAATGTTTGGATACACTGTGTTCCTTGAAACCTTTTTTTATATTGGCGATGTGTTCACTTAAACGAACATAGAGGGCGAGTGTTGTAAGCCCCACATATTCCAAACCGCATGGACATTTCAACATGTAAACCACGTCTAGTCGCACATGATTTAAACAATCAAATCTTATATGTTGTACCTGTCAATGTACCAGTAAATTCAGTTATTTTCCTACCCTTAAAGAGATGATAGCCCTCTAGGTTAGCAAAGAACACAGGCCTAATAGGTAGATCCATCACATTTGGTGCCACCTTATTCCTAAGGTTCCCCGCACCCCTAAAGATAACAGTGGGATCTTCCGGTAAAATGGGACCCAAAATGCAGTCATTCTTTAGAACTGACCAATGTTTTTGAATGATATTCCTAACAACATAACGCTGGCTTGAAAAGGTGGTGAAAAAAGCTGAACTAAAACAATCATGACCACCCTGGACAACCTCTGAATCCTTAATCAAGTTGTCACGATTATATTGACCCACTTCACAGATTAATTTGTCCAAAAGATCCGCTTTATAACCTTTATCGACAAATCTCAAATTTTAGTTTCAAGGCTTCTCTCTCATATTCTTTCTTGAAGGTACAGTTACGCCTTAGGCGCAAAAATTGTCCTTTGGGTACTGCCAACAGCCAAGAAGGGTGGTGGCAGGAATCTAAAGGGATATAGCCATTCCTATCCATTTTTTAAATGAAGGTAGTAATGAGACTACCATTAACTATAGATATTTTCAGATCAAGAAAATGCACCGAATTTGAGCTGAGCTCATGGGTCAAAACTATACTCCTTTGAGTGTCATTGAGGAAAACTAAAAATGAGGCAAGAGACTCGACGTCTCTGGTCTACGATCATGTAAAACAACATCCTCCTCCCACTTGGCCATGAAAAGTTTGGCCATGCTGGGTGCAAATTTAGCCCCCATGGCCACATCCTTTTTCTGCAAATAATATGAGCCCCCATACCAAAAATAATTATGGGCCATACAGAACTGAAGAAGGTCCATGACAAAATTTCTCTGCAGTTCTGGGACAGATCCATCCTTGCTTAGAAAAGATTCTACTGCCTCAAAGATCTTGAATCAGCACAAATTAAGAATTTCATAGCGAGTAAAGACATTAGTCTAGGAATGGAAAAACTTTGCACAGGGAAGGATATACATATTTGTCCCACCAAGGGTGGTGCGATTGTCGTACTTGATAAAACAGCATATGATAATGAACTGGCCAGATTGTTATCGGATGAGGACACCTATATGAAATTTAGGGGTAACCATGTATTATAATACAAAAAAGAACTCAGGGTCATAGTTGAGAAGGGATATAACGATGGTATTCTGTAGAAAAAAAAAATAATATATATATACACACATATACTGTATATATATATATATATATATATATATATATACACACACACACACATATACTGTATATATATATTTTTTCTTTTAAGCAACAGATAGCATAGATTCATGAAAGTCAGAAGTTGTCAAACAAATCTAATTTCTTTTTATGAGGAGGTTAGCAAAACCTTGGACAGGGTTGTGGCGGTGGACGTGGTATACTTGGACAGCGGGGTATCGGTGGACGTGATATACTTGGATTTTGCAAAAGCGTTTGACACAGTTCCCCACACATGGCTAATGTGTAAAGTAAAGTCTACAGGCTTGGAAAAATCTACATGTAAATGGTTAGAAAACTGGCTAAAAGATCGTATTCAGAGAGTAGTGGTTAATGGTTCATACTCTGAATGGTCTAGGGTCATCAGTGGTGTACCCCAAGGTTCAGTGTTGGGACCCTTACTTTTTAATATATTTATAAATGATATAGGGTCTGGGATTAAAAATCCCATTGCAGTCTTTGCAGATGACACCAAGCTGTACAGTGGAATAACGTCCTTACAGGATGTCTCCAATTTACAAGCTGACCTCAATGCACTATTTAATTGGGCAAACTATGTGACAAATGAGGTTTAATGTTGATAAATGTAAGGTTATGCACTTGGGGGCTAAGAATATGCATGCATCATACATACTAGGGGGGTAGAACTGGGGGAATCAATGGTGGAGAAGGATCTGGGAGTTCTGGTAGATCACAAGCTTAATAATGGCATGCAATGCCAAGCTGTGGTTTCTAAAGCGAGCAAAATCCTCTCTTACATTAAAAGAGGTATAGACTCCAGAGAGAGAGATATCATATTACCCCTGTACTAATCATTAATAAGACCTCATCTGGAATATGCAGTTCAGTTTTGGGCACCAATTCACAAAAAGAACATTGGGGAACTGGAGAAAGTACAGAGATGGGCAACCAAACTGATAAGAGGCATGGAGGAGCTCAGCTATGAGGAAAGATTAGAGGAACTGAATTTATTCTCTCTTCAGAAGAGGAGATAAAGGGGGATATGATCAACATGTATAAATACATCAGTGGTTCATATAGTGAACTAGGTGTGAAGTTATTCACCCTGAGGTCATCACAGAGGACAAGGGGGCACTCTCTACGTCTGGAGGAAAAGAAATTTAATTTCCAAACACGGAAAGGTTTCTTCACAGTGAGAGCTATGAAAATGACTCCCTCAAGAGTTGGTTCTGCCCAGCTCAGTGGATTTCTTTAAAAAAGGCCTGGATTCTTTCTTGGATACACAGAATATAACTGGATACTAACATTTATAGGTAACGTTGATCCAGGGAATATCTGATTGCCTCTCGGGGGGATCAGGAAGGAATTTTTTTCCCTGCAGGAGCAAATTGTATCATGCTGTGCTGTTTTTTTTTTTGCCTTCCTCTGGATCAACTGTGGGTATAGGATTATAACTTTTTTTTTAATGGTTGAACTGGATGGACTTTTGTCTTTTTTCAGCCAGACTAACTATGTAATTATGTAGCAGCATACATTTTAGCCAAAAGTTATGAAGAAATTTGATTTTTTTTTTTTATTGGATATGCTTTATAGCAGAAAGTAGAAAATAGTTAAAAAAAAATTTCGGTCTTTTCTTAAAAACACACATGGTGATCAAATACCACCAAAAGAAAGTTCTATTTGTGTGGGAAAAAAAATGATATAAAATTTGTACTTGCATACAGCATTGCATGTCTGCGCAATTACCAGCTAAAGTAGCTCAGTGCCAAACACCAAAAAAAAAAAAGAAAAAATGGCCTGTTCATGAAGGGAGTAAAAACGTACGGGCTTAATACTATCATTGGAAACGGTACCAAATCCAATGTAATCTTCTCTCAAGAGCACTCAGGACCGAGATAAACCTGGAGATAAACCTGTTTGCCTGTGTTGAGGTGTTCAACAGCTTCCGGACCACCCTATAGCAGATATACTGCTACAGGGTGGCACAGGTGCGCAAAATCACATATATATACATGATTTTGCATAGGAGGCGCACGTGGCCATTGCTGTCAATCAGCCATGGCCATGTAAACAATACAGATCTCCTCCTTGTACATGCACACTGCTTTGGATAGCTGTGCACAGCCATCCAAAGCAGTGTACTTACAGTGAAGCACACAGACACAGCCCCATAGTAAACCACACCCAGCACACAGTTAACCCTTTGATCACCCCAGATGTTAACCCCTTCCTGTCCAATGCCATTAGTACAGTGTTAGTGCTTTTTATTAGCACTGATCACTGTATTGGTGTCACTAGGGATGTCAGAGACACCAAGTCACTTCCCCCCAGCGTCAGAATGCCCGACATAGTCCCGCTATAATTCGCTAATTGCCGCCATTTGTAAATGCTATAACTTTTGCGTAAACCATTTGCACATATTGGGATTTTTTTTAGCATTTTGACCTAAATTTATGACGAAATTTGATCTAAATTTTTTTTACTGTCTATGTTTAATAGCAAAAAGACAAAAAGTTTTTTTTTCTCAAAATTGTCGCTTTTTTATAGCACAAAAAATAAAAACCACACAGGCAATCAAATACCACCGAAAGCTCATTTTGTGGGGAAAAGGCCGTAAAATTCATTTGGGTGCAGCATTGCATGACCGCACAATTGTCAAAGTAAAGCAGCACTGAATCGCAAACCATGGCCTGGTCAGGAAGAGGGGTAAATCCTCAGGAGGGCAAGTGGTTAATAACCAGAGCCTAGTGACACCGCACAAGCAGGGAGAACGTAATGTCAGGAATCAATGGCGGCCTACGTTTCTACATATTTATCTTGCGGAGCACAGAGAACGCCTGCCCACAATCTCCACACACTCACTGAGCTACACACGGCGCCTCTCCCATTCCCGCCACTAGGTTAGAACTAGTCACGTGACGGCCGTGTTACACGGCGAGCCAGCCTCTTCCTTTCGGGTGACCCTGTATTTGTGGATTCTAGTGCGCATGCGTAACCCGGTGAGTTGCGGCCTGCCTGGTGGTCTGTCTGCGGGGCCGCGCTGCCGAGGTAAAGGGAAGGGGGAAGTGGCTCTTTGTGAGTGCCGCTTAGAATTGTGGAGGTGTGAGAAGCCGGGCCATGGAAGCGGACTATTACAGCCCCGAACACTCAGGTGAGAGGCCTGTGGGGGAGGGAGAGCCATGCAGCACCATAGTACAGTGTCTTGGTGGGTCACATATGCAGCCAGGCTGTGAGGCTGATTGCAGCTCTTCCTGATTTCATGGTGAAAGCTGTGCTCAGCTCGGGGTGATATCCTGGGACTCTCCTTCCTCTATTCATTCCCTCAATCACAGTGCTGTGGCCAGGTGTAGTCAGCACCCAGGTAGGTGAGGAGGCAGCACTGGGGTCTCCACTCTACAACCTATTGTGTTCAATGGCTGACCATACACATTAGATGGGACCTCATTTCCATCAGATTCAGTCAGGTGCAGGGGTGGACTGACCATTTGGAAACTTGGGCTCTGCCCGAGGTCAGTAGGGGGCCCCATGATCCCTTATTGCCCGGGGGCCCCATGAGTTGTCAGTCCACCCCTGGTCAGGGTGTGTTTTAGGGCCAGTTCGCACCATTCCGGATACATTTTTTCTTACAATTCACAGCACATTCCGTTCTGGTGCAGTTTTGATGCAGCTTGCTGTGTTTGTATGGTTCTCTGCAGAACAAATGCGGCATGTTCTACTTTTTTTTTTACCCTGCACTGTGACTACCCGTGTGAACTAGGGCCATTGGAATACATGAAAAACGCTGTGCATGCATTTTTGATGCAGAAAAAAAAATGCACTGAATTGCATCCTGTGTGAACTAGCCCTAACCACACTACAAACACATGAACACACGAAAACTCCACTTGGCAAATAAAAAAGTAATTAAATTCCAAAAATGCACTGAAAACACCTGCAAATACACTGCAAGCACATGCAAATGCACAGTGAACGCAGAGAGAATGGTGTAAATGAGCCCTTATCCACTTCAGCTCCTGAAGATTTTACCCCCTTCATCACCAGGCTGTTTTTTGCTATACCGCACTGCACATCCTCAATTGGTAATTGCGTGGCAGTGCAACACTGTACCCAAAATAAATGTATATCATTTTTTTTTAATCATTCTGGCATTTGATCACCGCTAGGGATTTTTTTTTTCCAATATAAACTAAAGACTGAAAATTAAAAAAAAAAAAAAAACGTATTTTTTACTTTCTGCTATAAAACCTATCCATTAAAAAAAAAAATCAAATTTCTTCATAAATTTAGGCCAACATGTATTCTGCCACATGTCTTTTGATAAGGGGAGAAAATAAATCCCAGTAAGTGTATATTGATTAGTTTGTGTGAAAGTTCTAGCGTCTACAAACTGTTACATATACTGGATTTTTTTTTTTTAAACTACTAATTGCGGCAATCAGCGACTTTATTGGGGCTGCAGGAGTTTGGCCGGCACTCTGATACTAACTGCCACTGACATCACCAGTGACATTAATACAATGGTAATGGTCCAGGGCTTAAAATTTCGAGTCTAGACCTACTAGCCAGGCACAAACCTTACTCTCCACCAGTTGCCCCACCCAACCTTGCCCAGGTCCGCCTCCAACCCCACCCCTGGGCCATCCCCAGCCCTGCCCACAACCGTGCCCCCTTAAAGCTTATGAAATTACATTTTTCTTAGAATAAAGAGTCCAAAATATAAAAAACTCATCCCTTTGCAGGGATGAGAAACTGGCAGATCGCTCGCGGTGTACAGAGCTGTGTTGAATGTCAGCTCAGGGCTGTGATTGGACATAGCCAATCAGCAGGTCCCAGCTGTGAATCATTGGCCGGGGCTTGCTGACAGGCTCCCGCTGTTTACAATCATAGTGGGTGCCAGTAGGGTGTGGGGGGCGCATGAGAAACCCAGGAGTAGACAGCGACATAGCCGTACGCTTTGCCAACAGCACCTGCCCTGTCCGCAGTACAATGTGGGCAGGTGGTCATAAAGTGGTTACAGAGGATTTTCAGCCTATTTGCAAAAAAAATGTCAACAGCTACAACCATTGTAGCTGCTGTTGTTTAATTAAAGGACAATGGACAGGGATCCAGCTCCGTCCTCACTCAGGCTGGTTCTTTGAGTCCCCGGTGCCGGCATGTTTACTGTGGGAATTAGGCTGTGATTCTTTGCAGCTTTACACTGCACATGCACAAAGCACGCTGTGCTCTGTGACTTGTCCGGAAACCTCATAGGATCGGTGACATGTCCCAAGAGGTTGCAAGCAAGGAGGGGGAAAACTTCTAGTGAAATCAGGTAGGCGATTTGACCGGAAGTGGGAGCAGGTATCTACCAAAACTAGGTACCTGCCAAGCCCCGCCCCCCAGAAAATCAAAACAAAAGAAAAAACTCCCAAATGTGTTGGAGGAGGACATAAAGCGGAACTTTCTTTTTTGGGTGAAATTCCAGTTTAATGCAGTGTCCCACTGTACAAGCCTGGTTTTCCTTGTCTCAGGAGCGCTGTCCTTCATTCAGGGTATGATTAGCCAGTTATGTGCTCATGTATATTTCTGTTCTACTTTTTTTCAATCCAGCTGTGATTTTTTTTTTTTTTTTTTTTGCTTAAATTCTTGGAATTATTTGGAGATTCTGACGTTATCTGTCCACCTCTCCATCTCAACCAATCAGATGAAGCCTTGTATTCATTCATAGAAATACAAGGCTTCCTGTGAATGGCTGAGCAGCACTCAGCTCAACTCAGTTTTGTGTCGGGAATGGAATGGGAAGTCCCCGTACCACTGATGGGACACAGCACTGTTTAGTGTATATAGCGGATGCTAAATATAGCTCATACTGTGGTGACAACAGCCACATCAGTTAGTAAAAGAAATGCTTGGTCCAGATTAACTTTTTAAAGTGAAAGTAAAGCTGGAGTTTGGCTTTAAAGGGTTAGCTCACCTTTACAGGAAAAAATGTAAAGGTAAACAGCACAGGATACCTTCAGCATCCTTCCCGGTACCCACTGTAATTACCTCCAAGGTTGCCGGGCTGTCAGCACCCCCACAGCCACTCCAGCCAAAAAAATAATAAATGCACCCACATTTGCAGGGAAAAAAATGTGCATTTATGTATTTTTCATGTGAGCCTGTAAAATATTGCAATCATCACTGGATTAGTCTCCTGCAGGCTGTTCATTCAGCTCCATGTCCTCACTGAGGTATGAACTTTTGGTTACTAAGTTCATGTACCAATAGACTAAGTGCGGAAATCACTTGTGTTCCATTGATAACATCCCTCTGTCGCAGTGGCAGAAGGGACTTGTAGTTTCTTCATTCATAGTGAGTGATGCAGTTGTGCAGTCAGAACCATGCTCATCAGTGCAGAATTTAAAAAGTGATGTGTTGTCGAGTAGAAGAACCCACAATACTGTGGGAGGGGCTGCCAGTTTGGCACCATGTTACCATAAATATGGGTGTAATATGGTTTTAAAGTTGGATTTGCCTTTTAAACTCAAAGTTCAATTGGGCTTTAGCATTACCTTTCTGAAGCTGAACTGTGCTTTAACCCTTTTGCTGCCGCTGCTAAACCTAAAACACATGTTGCAAAGCCAGTACAGTGGGGAAAATAATTATTTGATCCCCTGCAGATTTTGTAAGTTTGCCCACTGACAAAGAAATGAAGGGTCTATAATTTTTATCCTAGGTGTATTTTAAATGATAGAGACAGAAGATCAACCAAAAATCCAGAAAAAACACATGATCCAAATGTTACAAATTGTGCTGCCATTCAGTGAGTATAAGAAGTTTTAGATCCCCAAGCAAAACATGACTTTGTACTTGGTGGAGAAACCTTAATCTTATCCTTCTAATATCCAGATTCAGGTGTGCAGCCTGGGTGCCAGTGGGTTGCTCAAATCAGCTAATACTGATCTGATGCCACAACTGCTATATTTCTTCCACATCTCCCCTTTTTTATCCTTCTTAAATGTTTTAAAAGATAAGTTCACCTTTTGCACAAAAATAATAAATGCACATTTTTTTGCAGGTAGCAAAAAGTGCATTTATTATTTTTCCCTGCAGGAGCCTGTAAAACATTGCACCGGTGATCAGCAGATCGCTGGTGCCATGCAGCTCTCCTGCAGACCGGTCAGTATATCTGCTTTCCCGTAGGGGATGTACGGGCAAGTAGATATACTGACAGGAAGATTCAATGAACTACCATGGTGTTCTGTTAGTTCATTGAAAACTACAAGCCGACAGCCGCTAAGGCTGCCAGGGCTTGTAGTTCATTCATTCACAGAACTCTGTGAATGAATAATGCGGCTGTGTGGGTGGATCCCAAAAACAAATCTGACAGCTTGTCTTCTGTCAGAAGGAGGGGGGCAGCAGGTAGCAGCTGCAGCATTGAGAACATGTTACATGTTCCATCCTAAAAACGAGTAGAACGTGTAACATGTTTCCAAAAGTGAACTTATCCTTTTAAATATTTTAATGGTATTTTTTAGGATCTGGTGTGCAAGCCGAAACTACCAAGGATGATATTGGTTACTGAAAAATCCCAATTGCTGCACAGTTCAAGCACTTGGCCGGCTGATGGCGAACCACCGTCTGCTCTGCCTCACTCAGGACACTCTGTGGAGTCCATTCACTAATGATTTTCGCATGCAATATTTGTTTGTTTTTTTCGTTTTTTTTAATCGCATGTAATACCAAAAAGTCAATTCATCAAAGTAAAATATCGATATTTAGGCTGCATTCACACCTGCGTGTTTCCTAAATGTGCAACAAAACAAACAGAAATATTCCTTTTGCTTTGCATTTCCAAAATGCGCTACAATCGAGGGTGGCACTTGCTATTAATCCTCATGCACGCTGGACATTTTTACAGCTGCTGTTTTTGGCTTTTGATGTTTTTTTTTTTTGTTTGTTTTTTTTCTCTACAGCCAGTAAACCCCCCAGCATGTTATCCTATGTTTTCATGCGCACACAGACTGTAATCAACATTTTTTGGTAGGGACGTTTTTTGGCTGGGAAAAAAACCCAGGACTAGTGAGGAGTTTCTTAGCTGTAAAAACGCTCTAACACTGAAAAACGCAGTAAATCGTGGCAAAATACAGCTAAACACTAATGCAAAAATGCTAAAAAAAAAAAATACGCTGAAAAACTCACATTTTTAACGTGACTTTACACTGCTAACGTTACCAGTGTTCTTAAAACACCCCGTGTGCATGCAGCCTAATTCCTAATGGAGCCTCAAGCATGGCTAGCACCTGCATGTTTGTCACATGACAAAATACACATTGAAAGAACAGACACCCCAGGACTAAAAAATTATTTTTTGGGGCGTTTGTTACACATAGGGCAGCCCATTCAAGTGAGTGGGTTACCCCTGGTGAATATGCATTAATGCATGAAAAACATTGGGAAAAAATGCAAGCTGTAATGCGTGTTCCCACTACTTTCAGGTGTGAATGGGGCCTTGAGGTAAATATCACCAATTCACTAAAAACATACATTGGTTATTTAGCTTATGGTACATGCAGATATTATTTTTTAAATATGTAAAAAATAACAATGAAGGGAACTCTGCACTGGCCAGTAAGTTAAAATAATGTATTAGTGTGGAAATGTTATGTCCTGAGCTCACAAATATAGATACATTGTAATGTTGCATTAGAATGCGAGCATTCTGTGAAAGAAGACATTCTAAGGCTTTGATCACAGTAATTTTCATCCTTGCCACCGTACACCCTTCCCAACGTGGCTATTGAAATTAAAAAAACCCTGAAGCACTAAACAGGCCTAGCTTTAACATGCGTATAGGTGCATCTTTTTTTTTTTTTTTTTCTGGCAAAAATGCTTCTCTGTTGAACGCACAAATTAAAGGTTTTTGTTTTTTTAACTCCTGTAAACACCTATAGGTTAACATGAAGGGACATTTAAAGGCAGAGCACAGGGACACCTTTTGGACAGCAGCATTGTTAGTCTGGGATGAGGGGAGTGTTTATATGTACTAGAAGACTTATATATTCTAACAAATTGAAGTTAAACATCAGCTAATACTAAGCAGTTACAGCAAACATTTTTTTTTCCTTTTGGGATAAAGGTTTTATATAAATAAAAGCTGTCATTGTAAGCACCTCTGTTAGTGTTAAATGGTTTGTCTCATCCCTGTAACTGCAAGAGAGCTTGTTCTTTTGATAAAGAGACTTACTGGCCAGCTCACCAGATGACAGTAGAAGATAGAGCCTAAAAAGACTAATGCAGCCACCACATCTAAGAATTGGTAAGGTGCAATGTAATGTTGACTTTTACGTTTAAAGTGGTTCTAAAGCCTTAAGGTTTTTCACCTTAATGCATTCATGCATTAAGGTGAAAAACATGTGCTGCACAATCTTGACTACTTTTGAAAAAGAAAACTGCATGAGTAATTTTGAGGCACAAATTCATGCAGTATTTATCTTTAGTGCATTGAACCCTGTGTCACCTGTTTAAAGGGAGCAAACTCACTGTATGCCCTAGAAACGCCTGCCCACTCGAATACAGCTTTGCACTTACTAACCATACAGTTGCAAAAAGTCTGCTTGGGATTTCCAGATATACCCAGTTCACTCCCATTTGGTCTAATGAACTATTAGAAAAAAAAAAAAAAAAAAACCGCAAACAAAAAGTGACTTTCAAATGTGCATCTCAGAAAGTTTTTGAGCCAATGTAGAACAAAAATTGTAGAAAATCATGACCTTTTTTAACCTTTGAATAGCTGTGCACAGCCATTCAAAACAGTGTGACAGGGAAGAGAACTGTTTTGTTTACTAACAGTTCTCCCCCCCACCCCCGTCAGAGATCCTCGGCAATCGCCGGGGACACTGGCCGGGACTCGGTAATTGATGGCGGCGCTGGGTAGGGAAATGCGAAATCACATATAAATACATGATTTTGCATACCTGTGCCGCCCTGTTGCAGTATATCTGCTATAGGGCGGACGGGAAGTGGTTAATCTAGACAGGAGGGTATTTTATCAATGCCTTCAACACTGACATGTCTTTATGGCACAAAACACTACCTTTTTTGCTTTTTCAATGTAAAAGAGTATCTGGCTGTCTCCAGTGATGTTTGCTGCATGCAGAATGTTAGCCATCAAAAGAGTCTTTGCCTCTTCTCCCACTATAGAGGAATGGTTGCAAGAACAAAGTAGGTATACAGCTCACGAGAAGCTCACCTTTTTCTGGGAAACCCCATGCGTAAGTGCACCACACTATTGTTGCCTAAAATGTAATAACGGATATGTCTTGGTCCCAATTCTCTGCAATCCTCAAGTCTACCCCATTGAATAAATGTCTTTTATTGACTAAATAACCATGTAATACCGCTAATTTGACTTTAAGTTGTATTTGACTGTAATGTAGTTGGGTAATGTAGTTTTTGCCTTTTTCTGGACACACAATTTTGAAGCTTAAATAATTGGTACCTATTTACCACATTTTTTTGTATTTTATCAAATAAAAAATAGGTGGTATCTTGTGTTTGTGTTCACTAAAATTAACCACCTCCCGCCCTCCATATATTATGACGGACGCAAGGTTCTTTCGTTCTGGGAGGACGTCATATGACGTCCTCCCATTCTAACCGCGCATGCGTGGCTCCCGGAGCGTGCGGCGATCTGCGGTGCACTGTGTCCCTCGGAAAGAGCCGAAGATGTCGGCTCAGTCATGTGATCAGCTGTGTCCAATCACAGCTGATCACATGTAAACAGAGAAATGCCGGTTATCGGCATTTCTCTCCTCTCGAGCTGGTAATCGGCATTCCGCGGAGGGGACATGTACACTGATCATCAGAGCACTGATGATCAGTGTAGCCCCAGCAGTGCCACCTGTCAGTGCTCATCATTGCCTCGTGCCAATGCCTACCAGTGCACATCAATGCCACATATCAGTGCCTACCACTGCACATCAGTGCCTTTCAGTGCCGCCTATCAGGTGCTGCCTTTCAGTACCCATCAGTGATGTCTGTCAATGCCCATCAGTGCCACCTACCAGTGCCTCCTCATCAGTGCCATCTATCAGTGTCCATCAGTGCCCATCACTGCAGCCTCATTAGCGCATATCAGTGAAGGAGAAAAAATCATTAATTTACAAAATTTCATAACAAAAACTAAAACTTTTTTTTTTCAAAATTTTCAGTGGTTTTTGGTTTGTTTAAGAAAAATTAAAAAACCCAGAGTTTATTAAATACCACCAAAATAAAGCTCTGTCACAAAAAATGATAAAAATTTCATATGGGTACAGTGTTGCATGACTGCACAATTGTCATTCAAAGTGCAACAGCGCTGAAAGCTGGAAATTGGCCTGGGCAGGAGGGGGTATAAGTGCCCTGTAGGCTTGTGGTTAATGTGAGTATATTTTTTAATGAAAATCTAGATATGATAAATGGTAGTATGTTAATCATACGACAAAAAATTGCAGCTACCGCTATTTTATTTTACAGGGTCGCTGCTTTCAGCAAATATACAATGTTTTGGGGGTTACAAGTAATCAGTAGGCCTAAAATGTGCCTTTTAAAGTGTGCAGAAAATTTAACAAAGAATGCTACCCCGAGCTAGCTGAATACTTTATAAAAGCTTGCTGTACACACTGTGCTGTTAGTAAAACAGAAGCCTGTGTTTACTAGGCTTAACAGCAAAACGTAAAGTGGCCCTAAAGCCTTTAGGATTTTTACCCCAATGCACTCTCTGCATCAGCTTAAAAAACATGTGTTCAGCACCCCCTTACCAGAAGAGGAGGGTTGCTGCTGCTCTTGCACAAACTATTGCACAGAGCAGGTAAGTATAGTATGTTTGTTTTTAAAAAAAAAAAATAGAAGTTTAGAATCACTTTAAGATTACATATTTTGATTTGAGTGTTTTTATTGGAGATTTGCGATAGAGATCACTTCTGCACATACTTCTTTCCTTAATATTCTTAGTTTGATCTGTGAAATAGTTATTTTAACAGCAGTTAATTCTTGAAATAATTGTATACCAGCTTCACTTATTAGTGTGTTGGCTTAGTGGATTTTGCATCTGGGGTCTTATGCTACCAGTCATGATCTGTGGGACCATATAAACTTGGATGTGCCATTTGGGGTGCCCCTATTTTTTTTTATTTTTTATATTTTATGGTATGTGTCTTCAAAAATGTTATCTAGATGTCACACTGAAAAGGTGAAGCAGTGCAGATTTTTCAGAGGGAGGCTTTGTGATAGTGGATTTCTCTTCTAATTATTTTTTTGTGTGTTAACTAGTAACTTCGGTATCTTCTTGTTGCAGATGATGGTGGTGCAACCCCAGTTCAAGATGAGCGTGACTCTGATGATGAGGGAAATGATAATGAACAACATGGCTCAGATGTTGAAAGTCCAGTGCATCGATATGAGGTAGTGAAGCCCATTACATTGTTTTTTGTACAGTTCTAACAATTTCATGACAAGTCATGACAATTTTAAGTGTGAATTTCAGTGTGAACTCAGTGATTGTGAAGATATATATATATATATATATATATATATATATATATATATATATATAATATATATTTAGCAAATATTTTATACTTGCCTTCTCTGTGCATTAGTATTGCATAGAGTGGCCCAGGACCTACTCTTCTTCTGGGGTCAGTGATCTTGGCTCCTCTGCGCTGGATCAAGAATGGTTAGGTACGTTTTTAAGGATTTTTGGGGGGGGGGGGGGGGGGGGGGAACCACCAACAATGGAAGGTTTTAAAAAAACCTTCTACCTTTACAACCACTTTAATACAATAGTATAACATCAGGGTTTAGTAATGCACAAATATAGGTATTTTGTATTGTGTTCTCTTTTTTTTTGCTACAGTGAGGAACAGAAGTATTTGAACACCCTGCAATTTTGCAAGTTCTCCCACTTAGAAATCATGGAGGGGTCTGATATTCACATTGTAGGTGCATTCCCACCCTGAGAGACAGAATTAAAAAAAATTCAGGAAATCACATTGTATGATTTTTAAAGAATTTATTTGTCTTGCACTGCTGAACATAAGTATTTGAACACCTAAGAAACAGCAAGAATTCCCGCTCTCAAAGACCTGTTACTGTGCCCTTAAAAGGTCCACCTCTACTCCACTCATTAATCTAACTTAGTAGCACCTGTGTGAGCTCTTTAAAGACACCTGTCCACCCCACAGTCAGTCAGACGCCAACTACTACCATGGGCAAGACCAAAGAGCTGTCAAAAGACACCATAGACAAAATTGTGGACCTCCACAAGGCTGGAAAGGGCTACGGTGCAATTGCCAAGCAGCTTGGTGAAAATAGATCAACTGTTGGAGCAATTGTTAGAAAATGGAAGAGGCTAAATACAACTGTCAGTCTCCCTTGGACTGGGGCTCCATGCAAGATCTCACCTCGTGGGGTATCACTGATAAGAAAGGTGAGGAATCGGCCCAGAACTACAAGGGAAGAGCTGGTCAATGACATGAAGAGAGCTGGGACCATAGTTTCAAAGGTCACTGTCGGTAGAACACTACGCCGTCATGGTTTCAAATCATGCATTGCACGGAAGGTTCCCCTGCTCAAGTCATCAAGTTTGCCAATGACCATCTGGATGATCCAGAGGAGGCATGGGAGAAAGTCATGTGGTCAGATGAGACCAAAGTAGAACTTTTTGGTCTAAATTTCACTCGTCGTGTTTGAAGTAAAAAGGATGAGTTGCATCCCAAGAACACCATCCCTACTGTGAAGCATGGGGGTGTTAACATCATGCTTTGGGGTGCTTTTCTGCGAAGGGGACAGGACGACTGCACTGTATTAAGGAGAGGATGAATGGGGCCATTTATTGTGAGATTTTGAGAAACAACCTCCTTCCCTCAGTCAGAGCATTGAAGATGGGTCGTGGCTGGGTCTTAGAACATAACGACCCGAAGCACACAGCCAGGATAACCAAGGAGTTGCTCCGTAAGAAGCATATCAAGGTTCTGGAGTAGCCTAGCCAGTCTCCAGACCTAAATCCAATAGAACATCTTTGGAGGGAGCTGAAACTTCGTGTTGCTCAGCGACAGCCCCGAAACCTGACAGATCTAGAGGATATCTGCGTGGAGGAGTGGGCCAAAATCCCTGTTGCAGTGTGTGCAAACCTGGACAAGAACTACAGGAAAGTGTGACCTCTGTAATTGCAAACAAAGGTTCTGTACCAAATATTAACACTGATTTTCTCAGGTGTTCAAATACTTATGTTCAGCAGTGCAAGACAAATTCTTTAAAAATCATACAATGTGATTTCCTGAATTGTTTTTTTAAATTCTGTCAGAGTGGGAATGCACCTACAATGTGAATTTCAGACCCCTCCATGATTTCTAAGTGGGAGAACTTGCAAAATCGCAGGGTGTTCAAATGCTTCTGTTCCTCACTGTAAGTGAACCTTCACCACATTCATTAAGCTCTCAAGAATAATCACTTCACTTCACTTGCAAAGTGAACAGTGTGTTTGCCTTTAGTAAATCAACCCCCACTGTGTGCGCTGTAGGTACATCAATTTATGGGGAGTGAGTCTATGGGGTTGATTTACTATAACTGAAGAGTGCAAAATCTGGTGCAGCTGTGCATGTTAGCCAACCAGCTTCAACTTGAGCTTGTTCAATTAAGTTTGACAAAAAAAAAAAAAAATGGCAGATGATTGGTTTCTGTGCAGAGCTGCACCAGATTTTGCACTCTCCAGTTTTAGTAAATTAACTCTTGTTTGTGGAGCCCAGGTTCATGAATTCCACTGCTTATATTGTCTATATTAAGTGGGGGCACCTACCCTAATATTGTTGGATAACATTTCTTCTTCCTCATCTATGGATCTAGTTTATTATATACACTCTCATATCTAAACGTACGCTATACATAGGTGTATCCGTGTCTGAATGCACTAGTCATTGCTTCTTAATTGAGTGTGGGCTCAAAGAAAGAAGACCCAGGAAGACTGCACTGTTGAAAGAACATTCTAAAAATGACAGACTGCAATTATGCTGTAAGCAGCACCTTTTCTGTATATGCTACCAAAACAAAACATTTATCATAACTGTTTAAGAAAAAAAGACTGATATTTGCTAAAATGTGTATTGACAAGCCACAATGCTTCTGAGAGAATGTCCTTCAAACAGTTAATGCCTGGATGACAAGTCACATCAGCTCTATGTTCACAGACCAAAAAAAATGTGCTTTCAAAAGGACACTGTACCTATTGCAAAATATGGAGGAAGATTAGTTATTTTTAAGGCTGCTTTGCTGCATCTGACATGGGGTGCCTTGAATCTGTGCTGGGCACAATGAAATCTCAAGACTATCAAAGAATTTGATTACAACCTACTGCCAGTGACAGCAAGCTGTCTCAGTTGTAGGTCATGGGTCTTAACAGGAGAATGACCCAAAACTCCCAGCTAAAAGCGCCAAAGAATGGATAAGAACAAAACATTGAACCATTATGAAGTTGCCTTCTATGAGCTGTGTTTCTGAATTCTATTGATCACCTATAGAAAGGGCTGAAACATGCAGACTGGAGACGTTTTCTCAATAAGAATGGGAACAACTACATGCTAGGTTAGGTACAATATTAGGTTAAGGGACCCATCATTTTTGTCAATTTCATTTGTTTTATTTAAAATATTCTGTTAGATAAAAAAAAAAATAAAAGCAAAGCCTATTTTATTTTAAATGTAGAATGAATAATGATGGATGACAATTACTTCTGTCAGTTTCAGTTATTTCAGAGAAATTTGTTGGTTCTTTTTACTTGGAAGGGTACCAACAGATTTGCCCATGTCTGTACGTCATCACATTTCATTAGGTACATTGTTAGGGTTTAATTTTAACCAAAACTGTATTTAAATAAGATGTTTGATAGCAACTTGGTAAGAAGACCTAAAAATACTTTAAGGCAATCAACACTAGCAGATAGTGCTCTTAAACAACAGATTTTAAAATTGCAGCTTACTTTATCGGGAAAAAAAAACAATTAACAGAGGCAACCTCATGAGGCCATGTATATTTATGGACATGCTTGGTTACGTTAGATGAGCGTAAACATTTAATGTTTGTAGCATTGCGCTGGTTATATCCTACTCACATGCATACCTGTCTCCAGCACCGCACCCGGGGACTAGCAAGGAGGAGAGAGACCTTGCAGTGTGACGAGCACCGATTGGGTGCTTGTAAGGAACGGGGAGTGTTGGGGTTTTCTTAATACTCAACAGAAGCGCATCTGCTGAGCGAGTAAATGAGGCGCCATCTCCAATGAGAAAAAAAAAAAATGTTATTCCTTCAGGTTACCCTTACACACGGGAGCTCTTGGGTGCTCAGTACAAGCACATGCTGAACAGCCAAATCAAGCTATCTTGTCTGCTTCACTAATGAGGGTAAAATATTAATGGCTAAGCACAATTTTGCAACTATGACATATGTTAAACTGTACATATCATTGCAAGTACAAAACACATCAGATCTCAATGGGGAAAAATATCATGCTGGATATGTATACTGATAAGGACTGCGTAATGTGTTAGGAACGTAAGGATGCCCCGACAATCAGTGAAAAAATTATGCAACAGGCATGAAATTTCATTGCAGCAACTCAAAATGGTACTCAATAGTTTGTATGGCCCCCATGTGCTTGTATGCATGCCTGACAACGTCGGGGCATGCTCCTAATGAGACGACGGATGGTGTCCCGGGGTATTTCCTCACAGATCTGGATCAGGACATCACTGAGCTCCTGGACAGTCTGAGGTGCAACCTGGCAGCGTCGGACCGAAACATGATATCCCAGAGGTGTTTTTTTGGATTTAGGTCAGGCGAGCGTGGGGGCCATTCAATGGTATCAATTCCTTCATTCTCCAGGATCTGCCTGCATACTGTCGCCACATGAGGCTGGCATTGTCATGCAGCAGGAGGAACCCAGGACCCACTGCACAGCGTAGGGTCTGACAATGGGTCCAAGGATTTCATCCCGATACCTAATGGCAGTCAGGGTGCCATGGTCTAGCCTGTAGATGTCTGTGCGTCCCTCCATGGATATGCCTTCCCAGACCATCACTGACCCACCCCCAAAACATTCATGCCGCACGATGTTGCAGGCAGCATAACGTTCTGTACATCTTCTCCAGACCCTTTCACGTCTGCTTAGGGTGAACATGCTCTTATCTGTGAAAAGCACAGGGTGCCAGTGGCGGACCTGACAATTCTGGTGTTCAACAGCAAATGCCAGTTGAGCTCTATGGTGCCGGGCAGTGAGCACTGGGCCCACTACAGGACATTGGGCCCTCAGGCCACCCTCATGAAGTCTGTTTCTGATTGTTTGGTCAGAGACATTCACAGCAGTGGTCTGCTGGAGGTCATTTTGTAGGACTGTAGCAGTGCTCATCCTGTTCCTCCTTGCACAAAGGAGCAGATACCAGTCCTGCTGATGGGTTAAGGACCAGCTACAGCCCTGTCCACCTCTCCTAGAGTAACTGCCTTCTCCCGAAATCTCCTCCATGCTCTTGACTTTACTGGGTGACACAGCAAACTTTCTGGCAATGGCACGTATTGATGTGCCTTGCTGGAGGAGTTGGACTGCCTGTGCAACCTCTGTAGGGTCCAGGTATCGCCTCATGCTACCAGTAGTGACGCCTACCCTAGCCAAATGCAAAACTAGTAAAAAAACAGAAAAGAGGAGTAGGGAAAAAAATGTTAGTGGCCTCCACCTGTAAAACCATTCCTGTTTTGGGGCTCGTCTCATTGTTGCCCATCTAGTGCACCTGTTAATTTCATTAACACCAAAGCAGCTGAAACTGATTAACAACCCCTTCTGCTTCTTAACTGACGAGATCAATATCCCAGAAGTTTAATTGACTTGTCCTATACTCTTATTAAAAAGAGTTCTTTAAATTTTTTGAGCAGTTATATAAAATTTTAATTAAAAAAAAAAAAATTCTCTTGCTACTAACGATCACATTGATATCACATGTATATGTTCGTTGTCTGTACCCGTTCACATTTTGCATTTTTTCTTATCCTGCCTAAAACACACTGATACCGTTTTAAAAAAAATAAATATTCTATCCAAAATATACTTTGACCCTGACCTTAACTCTCACTAACCCTTGTAAACATTGATCTAGTGTTGTGTTTGTTTTTTTACACACTTGTTTGTTTACATCTTACTCTCTTGCAGGAAGAGAGAGACAGTATCTTTGTGCTGTGTGGCATGCTCCAAGCACAAAGATAGATATATACACACACACAGCCGCACAGATAATGACCAACAGGGCTAAATGTACAAAAAAAAACCACCTGCCTGGCGCCTTGAACTGCATGTGGTGTGCACAGAAACACATGGTACTCAGACATACTCAGACTCCTAGTAGACAAGTCTTGCCTTCCTTCAAACAGACCAGACTTGCTTGCACAAGAACTCTTATTTCACCCTGCTTCTCAGACGCTGATGAAAATCAACAATGTCTTCTGCAACATATACCATCCGCATAGAAGGCTTACTTTGCCTGGTGCGTAGTCCTGTTGCTCATGTTCATATTTTGGCCTTTCTTCAATTTTGGTCTTGACCAGCATCTGGCCCTGCACATCCTTAAAGTGGAACAAAATGTAAAAAGTAAAACATTTGCGAACAGGAAGGCACATGGTCCATGAAGGATGAGGTCACCCCCCCCCCACAACCAAAATTAGGGATGCATCGCTATTTTTTTTTTTTTTTTTTTTCTTCGAGTACCAGTATTGATAGTTTACGCCAAGTACGCACTGGTACCGAGTACCGATACTTTACAGTGCGATTTTTATCCTTACAAAATGAATAGGTGAAAATCGCACTGCAAAGAATGGCATGTGATTTTGAACAGGAATGCAGTGCAATTGCTGTTTTGAATCGCATGCAGTTTCCCCACCACTCATGTGGGAACCCAGGCTGAAATCACCAAGACAAGTCTGGGTTCATACAGGAGCGGTGCGAGAAACCGCATGTGATTCAGACAAGAATTGCACTGCATTCCTGTGCAAATCGCATGCCATTCTTTGCAGTGTGATTTTCACCATTCATTTTGTATGGAAGAAAATTGCACCACAAATTATCAGAGACCTCGCAGGCATTGGCCAGTTGAAACTAAGGTACTGTAAGTATTTGTGCCTTTAGTTTCGCTTTAAAGGATAGGTTTCTGCCTTTTTTCTATTCTCTTCCAGAAACCTAGCTTTGCAATCCTTTAATCAAGACTTTTTTTTTTTTTTTTTTTCGTGGAGTTGAAGCCATGGCTGCCAACTGCATCCTGACAACTTTTCGTAAAACTGATTCCCTCATTGTCTTGCCGTTAGGGTCTCATAGAGGACATCCTGCTTCCCACTCCACCATTGCCAAGTGGATCAGATACTTGATTTCTAGTGCCTTTGCCCTTTCCCTATCAGAGGGAAAAAGGATACCTCCTTTCCCTATCGGAGCTCATTCCACCAGGTATGTTGGTGTCTTAGACTTTCCAGCATCATGCTTCTGTATCCTACATCTGCAAGGCTGCCATCTGGCCCTCTGTTCACATTTTCTCTAGGTTTTACCAAGTAAAAGTTCAGGCCTTGGTTAATGTAAGCTTGGGCTGCGAGGTGCTCAAAATAGTCATCTGAATAATTTCAGGTTCCTAACACTTGTTTTTTAGTAGGCTTGATGGCATGTGTTTGCTATGTTGTTGTCCACCCCTTAGTGAATAGAAGTCCTGTGCTGTACAATTAAGATAATATGAATTTTAACTTATCTGTAAATTCCTCAGCTTGGAGTACAATACTGGACGGCAGCCCCTTCCCTTCTGTCTTCTGTAGTCACTCAAAAAACTTTACTTTTACTGACTGGGTGAGGTCATATAAGCGTGCAATGGAGGTTTGAAAGTTTTTACCAGTGTACCATCACATATGATGGCAGTCTGTAAAAAAAATTAACACAAATCTTGTGTCTTGTACTGTACTCCAATATAAGGAATTCTCTTTGATAAGTCATTATTCCTTATCTGACATCTCTGCTAAATATATCATTTGTTGTTGTTTTTTTTTTTTTTTATCTGTTTGATAGGTGCAAACAATACGTGTTTCTCTGGGGGGGAAAAAAAAACGTATAACTTCCGGTGGTCTGTGCACAGGTGTGGTTGTAAGGAAGAAAAGGGGGGGGGGAGGGTTTTGAGGAGAGGTTTGTGTTCTATATAATGTATCATAAAGTAGACAGGGCTGACACCACATGCTTTACAATTTAAAGCCAAAAATACTCTGTTGTCATGTCAAAAAGGTAGTTAGGCACACGATATTTCTGGGACATCAACAGGTATTTTTCTGTATTTGCAGCATATTTAAATGGTGAAATGTGCATGTATTGTAAATATGTACTTTTTTTTTTTTTTTTTTTGCCTTAATGCATGTTTTAACATTTACAATATTATATCCCATTGCCACATCTTTTTTTTTTTTTTTTTTTTTTTTGTATTTTAGAATGACAACAGCGATGAAGACATGAAAGGAGGAGGCAGCGGATCTGAGAATGAAGTAAATGATTCAGAAGATGATGGACCTAGGGAGCGTACCTCCAGTGATTTAGAGAATGGTCACAATAACCATAATGCTAGTGACTCTGAAAACGAAGATGCTCAAAATCACATTGCCAGTGATTCAGATGATGAGCCAACCAGACAAAAAGGCAGTGGTGATGATGGTACTCCTGAAAAACGAAGAGCCAGTGATTCAGAGGAAGAGGTAAGATCTAGACATTCTGGAAGTGATTCTGATGAGGATACGCCCATTAAAAGGCGCATTAATGATTCTGATGATGAAGGGCAAGGAAAAAATGCAGCTAGTGATTCTGAAACTGAATCTCGAGCCAAGCATGTGGATAGTGACTCAGAAGATGAGGCTCCTGTCAAGCGGGGGCACCTAGTGACTCTGAAGATGAGACTCCAGTCAAGCGAGCAGCTAGCGACTCAGAAGATGAGGCTCCTGCAAAGCGAGCGGTCGGTCAGTGACTCAGAAGATGAGGCTCCTGCAAAGCGAGCGGTCAGTGACTCAGAAGATGAGGCTCCTGCAAAGCGAGCGGTCAGTGACTCAGAAGATGAGGCTCCTGCAAAGCGAGCGGTCAGTGACTCAGAAGATGAGGCTCCTGCCAAGCGAATAGCTAGTGACTCAGAAGATGAGGCTCCCGCCAAGCGAATAGCTAGTGACTCAGAAGATGAGGCTCCCGCCAAGCGAATAGCTAGTGACTCAGAAGATGAGGCTCCCGCCAAGCGAATAGCTAGTGACTCAGAAGATGAGGCTCCCGCCAAGCGAATAGCTAGTGACTCAGAAGATGAGGCTCCCGCAAAGCGAATAGCTAGTGACTCAGAAGATGAGGCTCCCGCCAAGCGAATAGCTAGTGACTCAGAAGATGAAGCTCCCGCCAAGCGAATAGCTAGTGACTCAGAAGATGAGGCTCCCGCCAAGCGGATAGCTAGTGACTCAGAAGATGAAGCTCCCGCCAAGCGAATAGCTAGTGACTCAGAAGATGAAGCTCCTGCCAAGCGAGCAGTTAGTGACTCAGAAGATGATATTCCTGCCAAGCAAGCAACTAGTGATTTGGAAGATGAGGCTCCTCCAAAGCGAACAGCTACTGACTCAGAAGATGAGGCTCCTGCTAAGCGGGTTATTAGTGACTCTGAAGATGAGGCTCCCCCCAGGCGAGCTGCTAGTGACTCTGAGGATGAAGCTCCTGTTAAGCGTGTAGCTAAACGTCGCAAAAAGCCAGCACGTGGCTCAAAGGGTAAAACTTCCAAAAAAGCAGAAAGTGGTTCAGAGGATGAGGCACCATCTCGGCGAGCACCTGTTGACTCAGATGATGAGGCACCTGTGAAACATGTAAATAGTGATTCTGAAGAAGAACATCCTTCCAAACCAGTACACAGTGACTCGGAAGATGATTCACCTGCTAAGCAAGCTGCCACCAATTCAGAAGATGAGTTTCCAAGGATGAAAAGAAAATTAGTTTCATCAGATGACAGTGATGAAGAGGAAAGAAAACCAAAAAACAGAAAGAAAAGGTCACCACAACACAGATCTGAAAGTGATGATAGTGGGAGCGAAAGATCAAAGAAAAAGAAGACCTCCGACAGTGAAGAAGAAAAGGTTTCAAAAAAAAAAAAACGCAATTTCTGACAGTGAAGATGATGAGGCTGCAGATAAGCCAGGTAATCTATATTTTAATATATAAAATTGCATATAATCTTCAGGGATGGGCTCACAATTTAAGATAACAAAGGAGTTGTAATTCTCTTAGATCTGCAATTCCCTATATTTGGCTTGGTTCTGCTGAGATTCTCTCCAGTTAAAGTGTTATTAAACCCACAACAGTAATATCAGTCTGTGTATAAAGTAAAGCATGCTTGTTATACTCACTGTGGAACCTAAGGGGTTAATCCTCTGCATTGTGTAAAAATGCTGTTTGATCCTGACGTCTCTGATATTCCCCTTCTTTCAGTGTCCCCCTCTTGTCGCCTGATAAGACATATTGTGTGGAGTCACTGCATATGCTCAGTTTTCACGTGTATTGCTAGAGGTTTTTTTTTTTTTTCCTTGGGAGGAGTGCATGTAATCAGCACAGGGCCAATCAGCACTGTCCAGACTGAGGTCAGGGGTTCTGCATCCTCCTACAGCAAAATGAAAACTGCTACTACAAGCTTTAACCAGTGCTCGGCTGGACACTGATGGAAGTCACAAGACTGCTCTAAATGCTGATGAGAAAAGGTTTTTAGCAGTTTATATTTACTAAAATAATTACACTTCCATGTTCTGTGTACTGTGGGAGACCAGATATAGTGAATGCAGGGTCCTGGGTTTAGTAACACTTTATATATAAACTCTATTTATAGGACTGAATGGAGATGGTGTCACATGTGGGAAGGACCCAGACTAATCACTACAAAGTTTGTGAGCACAGTGCGGCAGCACTCACTTTTTTATGACTGAACACCATTTTACACTATCTGCTAGTATGTGTGGTCAGCTCCAAACCACTTTACTGTGACAGATACCATTTTAACAACCTTTTCACAGCAAGTATACATTTTATAAGAACAAATTGGTCCTAGTGTGCATATGTTTGTATGACTTTGTTAGACATGTTATGCTCTAAGCTTGGGGACAGGTACAGTTGTGTTTAAAAAATAATCGTGTGTTTAAAAAAAAGAGTAAAGCTTGGAAGAACATATGTACTCGTTTGCAGACTGTGGGGCTGGCAGACGTTTGGAGGGAACTTCCCCTAGCTGAGCGTGACTTCACGTTCTACTCATATCCCCATAACAGTTTCTGCAGAATTGACCACATATTTATGCGTGTCCAACAACTTCCCTTTGTCAGGCGAATATCTATCCCTTCCTCGCCCTGGTCAGATCACGATCCCCTGGTTCTACTCCTTGCCCTTTAGGTTTCAGCACGGCGCCCTTTTCACTGGCTTATTAACTAATCTTTCTTCGGCAGTGCCCCTGTGGGAGGCGCATAAAGCCACGGTGCAGTGTCATATCATACAGCTAGCTGCTGCCCGGAAGCGGGAGCGTTGTCTTTTGGACCTTCATTCTCTGCTAGCATCTGCGGATGCTCGTTGGAAGTTGCACCCATCCGCGGCCCATAAACAAATGCGGGATGCACTGGCTGCAGAATTGGAACTGCTTGCTTCTCTGGAGGCTGAACAGGCCTTGTGTTGGACCAAACATACATTTTATACCTGTGGTAATATGCCGGGTCCAATGCTGGCTAGGAAGCTCAACTCTGTGTTGAAGACCCACAGACTGGTCCGGTTACGTCTCCCTGCGGGTGGCTGCCCTCCCAACCCCCAGCAGATTGTTTCACATTTCTCGGACTTCCTTTCACATCTATACGCGAAGCTGGATCCCTTTCCTGTAGCTTGGGCAGAAGTGTTCTTCCAAGATCTATGATTCTGGATTGTCCACAGCAGCGCAGGTAGCCCTCAATGCCGGTGTAACCACATCGGAACTACTTCAAGCTATCAAATCTTTACGATCCACTGCGGCCCCGGGCCCTGGCGGCTATTCAGGCCTCTATTATAAGAGATTTGTGACCTTGCTGGCGCACCTCAGAAACAGCATTTTATTATGGCGAACCACAAGTTTTCTATTGGATTAAGGTCCGGGGATTGGGCTGGCTACTCCATAATGTTAATCTTGTTGGTCTGGAACCAAGATGCTGCTCGCTTACTGGTGTGTTTGGGGTCGTTGACTTGTTGAAACAACCATTTCAAGGGCATTTTCTCTTCGGCATAAGGCAACATGACCTCTTCAAGTATTTTGATGTATTCAAACTGATCCATGATCCCTGGTATGCGATAAATAGGCCCAACACCGTAGTATAAGAAACATCACCATATCATGATGGACAGTCTTTACAGTGTACTGTGGCTTGAATTTAGTGTTTGGGGGTTGTCTGACAAACTGTCTAGACTCAAAGATTAATCTTGTTTTCATCAGTCCACAAAATGTTGCGCCATTTCTCTTTAGACTAGTCATTGTGTTCTTTGGCAAAATGTAACCACTGCAGCACGTCGTGTGTTGGTTTTTTTTTTTTCTTTTTCCCAACAATGGGACTTTGCGGGCGCTTCTTGACGATAGCTTGGCTTCACATAGACGTCTCCTAATTGTTCCAGTACTTACAGGTAACTCGAGACCTTCTCTGATCACCCTAGAGCTGATCATTGGCTCAGTCTTTGCCATTTTGACTATTCGATCTATTCAAATGGTAGTTTTCCATTTTTCTTCCACGTCTTTCTGGTTTTGATTTTCCATTTTAAAGCATGTGAGATCATTTTAGCTGAGCAGCCTATCATTTTCTGCACTTCATGTTTTCCCCTCTCCAATCAACTTTTTAATCAAAGTACTCTGTTCTTCTGAACAATGTCTGGAACGACCCATTTTCCTACAATTTTCAGAGAGAAATGCACTGTAACCAGCATGTACATCTGCTGCCTTCGTCCATAAATAAGGAGCACCTGTTGACACCTGTTTTTACACAGACTGAATGACCTCACAAATTGAACTCCACACTGCTTTTATTTTAAACACATCCCTTTCAATTAATGATTCAGTTACACAGAATCAGCAGCATGCATGGCATGACTGTTGGGTCTGTTGGTTTTCTATTAGTCTACAACACCTACTAGTAAATTATTTAGAAATATAATTTATACCAAAGAAAGTGATTGATCTAGTTAGTGATGTTGGACTGCTATTATTGTGAACACAACTATGAGATTGATTTGGTTTTCTCTGTAAAGTGCTGCAAGAAAAACTAAGTTTTCTATAAATTGGTAAAACAAATGCAGCAATGTTATATAGAATGTGTAGTGACTGAGCATTAACAGCCATGCACTCATTCTCATGTCTAATATAGCCAGTAAAAAGAGCCGTTTGCTCTCCGATGGGGAAGATTCCGACAGCGAATCAGACTCAAAGAAAACTCCACAGAAGAAGAAGCAATGTCATCTGACAGTGAGGATGAAGACCGGGATAAATCTAAAGAAGAGCCAAAAAATGCAGAGAAGAAACTGTTTGGCAGTGACAGTGAATCTGGGAATGAGAAGGAAGAGTAAGTACTACTTGTGGGGGTATTTGTTGTGTTGTGTGTTTTTTTTTTTTGTTTTTTTTTTTTGTTTTTTTTATGACTTTAGTATGACCAAGGCTATACATCTCCTATGGATCACAGGGGTGCAGTTAATTCTAAACTCTTGTGACCCATTTTCAGCTGACTGCGGGCTAAAGCCTGCTATCAGCTGAAATCACTCAGCCAGTCCAGGCAGAAGAAGGATCTCTGGATCGGCAGCTGGCTCAGCCTCAGCTGCGCCACTGGGAGAGTGAGCTAGCCGCTTCCTCCCTCCCCTCTTTAGTCCAGCGCTCCAGTGAGTGATGCAGGGGCAGAGCAGAGAACCGGAGACTGACAGTCATGGCTCCCTGCTCAGAGCCGAGAGGAGAACTGAGCGATCAGCAGTGTTTGTTCACTCAGTTCTCACTGCAGAGCTGGTGGGGGACAGATGGAGCATTGGATCGATGCTGCATCCACCTAAGTGAGTATAAGGATTTTTTTTTTTTTGTAAACCCCATACTACTTTTATTCCAAGATAGATCTTCATCATTTCTAGGTTGTTTGAGGGCAGTACTAGCATTGTTATATTATGGTGCAGCATGATGGTTTTTTTTTTTTTCTTTGAATTGCTTGTTTTCTGTTATATTTTAAAATGCTCAGGTTTAATATTGAGAATCTATAAAATGTTTAAGACTGTACTGTGCTGTAATGTATGTTTAATGACTCGGGTTAATATCTTATTCCGCAGAAACCTAATTGCAGATATTTTTGGAGAATCTGGAGATGAAGAGGAAGAAGAGTTTACAGTAAGTCTCATTTACTTTATTGTAAAAATTGACAGGGTCTAGACTTAGTCATGTTGTCCAAGTGATTTTGGATTTGATATTAAGTTGTTTTATATATTTTCTAGCTGATATATGTGTTACATCTGTGTCAGTCAGGAAGCTATAGCTTCAGCTTATAATTTTCAGACTCTTATTGTCATCCGTTCTGTGATCTGTCAGCTGGCAAGTCACACTGCAGGTGTGTTTCTTCTGGTTACACCATGAATTTTATTATATAATCTATTCTATAATATTATAATTCTCTTCTTAGACCCATCTCCCTGCTGCCATTCATATCCAAACTCCTTGAGCGCTTAATCTACAATCGCCTAAGCTCCCACCTCAACGATGACAACCTCCTCAATCCCCTACAGTCCGGCTTCCGTCCCCTACACTCCACCGAAACCGCCTTACTCAAACTCTCCAACGACCTGCTAACCGCCAAAGCTAATGTCCACTATTCAGTACTCCTACTCCTCAACCTCTCCGCGGCTTTCGACACAGTCGACCACCCCCTGTTCCTCAAAAAACTACACTCCCTTGGCCTCAGATTCCGCTCTCTCCTGGCTCTCGTCCTACCTATCACAACGCTCCTTCAGCGTTACCTATAACGCTACCACCTCCCCCTCTCTGTTGGGGTCCCTCAAGGCTCTGTCCTCGGGCCCCTTCTCTTCATCTACACCTCCTCCCTTGGCCAACTCATACACTCTCACGGCTTCAACCACCACCTCTATGCCACCGACACGCAAATCTGTCTCTTGACCTCTCGCCTCACCCCCTCAGTCTCCTCCCGAATCACAAGCCTACTGAACGACATATCAGATTCGATGTCGCTCCACTTCCTTAAACTGAACTTCTCCAAAACCGAGCTCCTAGTCTTCCCCCCAGCCCGCACACCACCCCCCATTGACTTCTCCATCACGTCCAACAATGACACTGTCAGGCCCGCCCCGCAGGCCAGAGTACTTGGTGTCATTCTTGACTCCAATCTATCCTTCCAGCCCCAACTCCAATCACTAACAAACTCCTGCAGACTCCACCTGCGCAACATCGCCAAAATACGCCTATTCCTAACCCCAGAAACCACTAAGCAGCTCATCCACTCACTCATCATATCACGACTCGATTACTGCAACTCCCTCCTCACTGGCCTTCCTTGCCACAGGCTATCCCCGCTTCAGTCGATCCTGAATACGGCAGCCAGACTCATCCACCTTACCAACCACTCCGTTTCCGCCACCCCCCTCTGCCAATCCCTCTACTGGCTTCCGATTGCCCAACAGATCAAATTCAAAATCCTAACACTGACGTACAAAGCTGTCCATCATACTGCCCCAAGCTACATCACCGACCTAATATCCAAGTACCACCCTACACACACTTTCCGCTCCTCACAAGACCTCCTTCTCTCTAGTTCCCTAGTCTCCTCCTCCCATGCCCTTCTCCAGGGTGTCACCCATACTCTGGAACTCCGTACCCCAATCCATCAGACTATCACCTACTCTCCTCTCCTTTAGGTGCACCCTGAAAACCCACCTCTTCAGGGAAGCCTACCCCACCCCCTGCTAATTCCCAACCTCCTCCACTTCCTACTACTCCATCCCCCACAGCTATTTCCTCCTGTACCACTATCCCCTCCCTCCTAGATTGTAAGCTCCAAGGAGCAGGGCCCTCGAACCCCTCGTGTATCGCATTGTATTGTTTTTGTACTGTCGCATGTTCTGTCTCCCATTGTAATGTACAGCGCTGAGCGAACTGTTAGCGCTTTATAAATACTGTATAATAACCATATGGTATTGCCATATAAATTCTTGTATCAGTTGGAAAAAAGAAAAGGCGTAGTGCTCTGATAACATAAATGGTGACTAAAAATTCAACCATCAAGTGCAACATATATAGTGCCTTGAAAAAGTATTCATACCCCTTGAAATGTTCCACATTTTGTCATGCTACAACTAAAAACGTAAATGTATTTTATTGGGATTTTATGTGATAGACCAACACAAAGTGGCCCATAATTGTGAAGTGGAAGGAAAATGATAAATGGTTTTCCAAATTTTTTACAAATCTGAAGTGTGGTGTGCATTTGTATTCAGCCTCCCGAGTCAATACTTTGTAGAACCACCTTTTGTTGCAATTACAGTTACAAGTCTTTTTGGGTATATCTCTACCAGCTTTACACATCTAAAGAGTGACATTTTTACCCACTCTTCTTTGCAAAATAGCTCAAGCTCTGTCAGATTGGATGGAGAGCTTCTGTGAACAGTAATTTTCAAGTCTTGCCACAGATTCTCAATTGGATTTAGGTCTTGACTTTGAGTGGGCCATTCTAACACATGAATATGCTTTGATCCAAACTATTCCATTGTTGCTCTGGCTGTAGGTAGGGCCATTGTCCTGCTGGAAGGTGAACCTCTGCTCCAGTCTCAAGTCTTTTGCAGACTAATAGGTTTTCTTCTAAGATTGCCCTGTATTTGGCTCCATCCATCTTCCCATCAACTCTGACCAGCTTCCCTGTTCCTGCTAAACAAAAGCATCCCCACAACATGATGCTGCCACCACGTTTCTTGGTGGGGATGGTGTGTGTTCAGGGTGTTGGGCAGTGTTAGATTTCTGCCACACATAGCATTTTGCTTTTAGGTCAAAAAGTTCAATTTTGGTCTCATCTGACCAGCGCACCTTCTTCCACATGTTTACTGTGTCCACACATGGATTCTCGCAAACTGCAAACAAGACTTCTTATGGCTTTTTTTGACAATGGCTTTCTTCTTGCCACTCTTCCATAAAGGCCAGATTTGTGGCGTGCACGACTAATCGTTGTCCCGTGGACACATTCTCCTACCTGAGCTGTGGATCTCTGCAGCTCCTCCAGAGTTACCATGGGCCTCTTGGCTGCTTCTCTGATTAATGCTCTCCTTGCCTGTCCTGTCAGTTTAGGTGGACGGCCATGTCTTGGTAGGTTTGCAGTTGTGCCATACTCTTTCCATTTTCGGATGATGGATTGAACAGTGCTCCGTGAGATGTTCAAAGTTTTGGATAATTATTTTATAACCAAACCGTGCTTTAAACTTATCCACAACTTTATCCCTGACCTGTCGGATGTGTTCTTTGGCCTTGCTGATGCTGTTTGTTCACTAATGTTCTCTAACAAACCTCTGAGAGCTTCACAGAACCGCTGTATTTATACGGAAATTAAATTACACACAGGTGGACCCAGTTTACTAATTAGGTGACTTCTGAAGGCAGTTGATTCCACTATTTTAGTTAGGGGTATCAGAGTAAAGGGGGCTGAATACAAACATGCAACACTTTTCAAATATTTATTTGTAAACAATTTTGAAAACCATTTATCATTTTCCTTCCACTTCACAATTATGTGCCACTTTGTGTTGGTCTATCACACAAAATCCTAATAAAATACATTTTAAGCTTTTGGTTGCAACATGACAAAATGTGGAAAATTTCATGGAGCATGAATACTTTTTCAAGGCACTGTAAAAAAAATAAACTTCTCTGTACAAAACAATCCAGACCAGTGCCCAAAACAAATAATCCACCACTTGCAAAGATATGGTGCTTATTTTCCACACTCCCCTTGTAAAAAAACACTCAACAGATTTAGTGACCCCTTAAATTAATAAGAAGGTCTTAGTGTGCCTTTTTGCTGCTTTCCCTGCTCCAGTTGGCTTCCTCCTCTCCACCTTCTCAGTTTATACAGCTTCATGTTTTGTTTTTTTTTGCCAGTATCCTCAGTACTCCTCTACCATTAGACAAAAGCAAAAGGGATCCACAATAGTGTAATACTGTCTTATTTCATTCAAAATGGAAAAAAAAAAACAGTGTACACTTACATTTTACATGTAAATGCATGATGGGCACAATTAAGCTTTCATTAAACCCCACATAGAATGCCTCCAGATGGCTGTGCACTCAAATTAGTGGAAGTGAAACCCCACCCAGGAGGAGATGCAGTTATCAGAGCACTTCACCTTTTTTTCTTTCTTTTTTTCTATTCCTCATTATTCATAAGGTTCATAGTTTGGTGTTCAGCAGTCGATTTTATGTTAGAAGGTCTCTCCCTCTTTTCCATAAGCGCAGGGAATCGAACTCCTATATCGTTTGGCCAGGAGTTTCTTGTACATGTTTATACAACACTCAAGGGTTTTCTCAATCTTTTTGTAGGGTTTTAACCAAGAGGATCTGGAAGGGGAGAAGCCAATGGCTCCAAAACAACAAGCAGATGAAGATTCAGACTCTGATGTTGATATGAAATCTGGTAAAATGTAAGCAGTGAATATAGACAAGTGCATCCCATGATGTATATGATGAACAAATGTCCTTGTGAGACAGGCTCTGTATTCAGTGGAGCTGCATAAAGCCCTGTAAATTTTCGGGTGGGGGTGGGGGGGGTTATATGGCTGCTTGTGGGAGCAGGGAAGAAGGCACTTTTATATATTGCCACTGTGAAGAGGAGAAGTATATCTAAATATATGGCTGCAGTGGGGTTTTGTGGGGGACGGTTTCTGTGTTTTGGATTCTGTAGTTGAAGCATTAGGATAAGATTTCAAGACCTCTAAATCAGTAAAAGAATAAAACAAACTGAAGGTGCATGAACATGCTTTTATTAGGGCATGTTCACACCCACTTTTGCTCTCTGAAGAGCGATTTATGTCAGATCACTCTTCAGAGAGCAGTAGACATGTGGTGATGCAGTGTATCGCCTCCTCACTGCCTGCTTTAATGCCTAACTACCATGCTGCAACAATGCGTATTGTGTATGTTTGGCCCCATTCACAGGGGTATAATGCCTACCACGATCACGAAGCAAATCAGTCGTGGCATGTGTACACCCCTGTCCACTTCCCTGCAGAAAAAGGGGTAGCAGTTGAGGAATGGTAAAAATGTCAGTTGTGCGTTTTTACAGCCCCCAAATGCAAGTGTAAATGAGCCCTAAATTTATATTCATATGTAATTTTTAATGCAGACATCATGAGTGGCTTAGCCATATTTTTTGAGAATTTCAGATGCTTTTCCTGGAAAGAGATTGGATGGGGAAGCACTGTAATACTTTGTACTTTAATTTTTTTTTATAAAGTTGATAAATGCAGCCCCCATTGCTAATCTACCACAATTTCTTATTTTTTGGAAGACGGATGTTTGAGATCTATGCCACATCTACAGAAAGCTGCAAGCTAAATTTTTTTTTTTTTTTTCTAGGACTATATATTTTCATCTTTGTTTACTATCTCAGATGTTTTTGTTTGTTTGTTTTTTTTTTTTTGCCATTTTTAAGTCTGTAGCTTCTTCCATTTTTTTTACACTGTGCATTTGTGAGTCTTGTTAACGATAGCCATGTTTTCTATTTTTCACAGAGGTGATTTTAAATCTGACTTTGAGATGATGCTGGAGAGGAAGAAGAGCATGAGTGGTAAGCGGAGGAGAAACCGGGATGGCGGCACTTTTATAAGCGATGCGGATGATGTAGTGAATGCTATGATTATGAAAATGAATGAGGCAGCAGAGGTGAGTCACCTTTTAGAAACTCTGAACTCTCAGGGTGCAGTTATAATACTGCAAGGTATCCTGAAAATCATACTGTTCCTACAATTATGAGAAAAACACAGAATTTTGTAACTTCAACTCATGAAATAGTTGACACTGTAGCTTTCTGATTTTCATTGCACACTTAAAATAAATGTGTATCATCATTACCCGCTGTAATTCTGTCATGAAGAGCCCATCCCCTTGCATTTCTGATTACAGATCTGTACAGAGGTGATCTGTTAGACCCAGATCACATAGTAGGCTGGTTATGTGTGTCATGAAATTTTGAAGAGTGGGTAGGATTTATTAACTAATATTTCTGTTATCTGCTACTACCCAAATATGGCTACTTTAGAACACACTATTGCACAGAAAATGGCAAGGAATGTCTGGTTGTTACAGTGGCACTACCAGATTTGGTGTGCAACAGAATTAAGATATACAGGGGATATAAAAAACTCTACACACCCCTGTTAAAATGTCAGGTTTCTGTGATGTAAAAAGAAATGGGACAAAGATAAATCATTTCAGAATTTTTTCCACCCTTTAATGTAAGCTATAAACTGTACAACTCAGCTGAAACAAAAAAATTAAATATTTTAGGCGGAGGGAAGTAAAAATAAAAAACTAAAATAATATGGTTGCATAAGTGTGCACACCCTTAAACTAATACTTCGTTGAAGCACCTTTTTGATTTTATTACAACACTCAGTCTTTTTGGGTATGAGTCCTATCAGCATGGCACATCTTGACTCAGCAATATTTGCCCACTCTTCCTTGCAAAATCTTGCATCTCCTGCGCACAGCCCTCTTCAGATAACCACACAGATTTTTGTTCGGATTCAGGTCTGGACTCTGGCTGGGCCTTTCCAAAATTTTAATCATGTTCTGGTGAGCCCATTCCTTTGTCGAATCGGATGTATGCTTTCGGTCATTGTCATGCTGAAAGATCAAGTTCCTCTTCATGTTCAGCTTTCTAGCAGAAGCCTGAAGGTTTTGTGCCAATATTGACTGGTATTTGGAACTGTTCATAATTCCCTCTACCTTGACTAAGGCCCCAGTTCCAGCTGAAGAAAAACAGCCCCCAAAGCATGATGCTGCCACCACCATGCTTCACTGTGGGTATTGTGTTCTTTTGGCAATGTTCAGTGTTGTTTTTGCTCTAAACATATCTTCTGGAATTATGTCCAAAAAGTTCAACCTTGGTTTCATCAGACCAGAACACATTTTCCCACATGCTCTTGGGAAACTTCAGATGTGTTTTTGCTAAATTTATCCGGGCTTGGATGTTTATCTTCGTAAGAAAAGTCTTCCATCTTGCCATCTTGGTAATGTCACTGATGTGCCATATTTTCTCCACTTGATGATGATTGTGTTCCATGGAATGTCTAATGCCTTGGATGTACTTTATTTGGGGTTAATCAGAGGCGTTTTAAATATGCCAGGTGCATACTGACTCTTCTATTTAACATGATTTTGAATGTGATTGCTTAATGCTGAACACAGCTACATCCCCAGTTATAAGAGGGTGTGCACACTTATGCAGCCACATTATTTTAGTTTGTTTACTTAATTTTTTTACATCACAGAAACCTGACATTTTAACAGGGGTGTGTAGACTTGTTTATCCACTGTATAGTTTAACCACTTCCTGTCCGGCCCGTGTCTATAAACGGTCAGACGGGCGCACTGCTGAAGCGTGTTGACGTTTCTAAACGTGACCCGCATTCTCTGTATCTGGACACTAATCGCTGTAGGTCCCGATTCATGTGATCACTGATTGACCAATCACTGATCACATGAGCAGTAGTAAACAAGATGTCACTTGCTGACATCATTGCTTACTACTTGTGAAATCTGTGAATGATCAGAGGTCACATGGTACTAGGCTATTCACAACAGTTTTGTACCATGTGACAAGCTGTGACCAATCACAGCTCGCAGTATTTCTCAATGGCTGCAAGAATGCAGCCAGAGAGAAATAGAAATGATTGCTTTTACAGCCTTTGTGGGTGTAAAAGCAATCAGTGTAAAAAAAAAAAAAAAAAAAAAAGAAGAAAAAATCTTCATCACCCCCATCCCCCCCCCCCCCCCCCACAAGTAGTACAGTGTCACTATGGTGACACTGTACTGCAAGGGAGACAGTATGTTAAAAAAAAATAAAAATGTTCTTAAAAATTATAATTTTTGGTTATAAACTAATTTAGGTTTTTTTTTTTTACTAAAAAGATGAATACATTTTGGCAACATTTATGAAGAAAGATTATTTATTTGCAAAATTTTATAAAAACACTTTTTTTTTTTTTTTTTCAAAATGTTTGGACTTTTTCATTTATATAGCAAAAAATTAAAATCCCAGTGGTGAATAAATACCACCAAAATAAAGTTTTTATCTGTCTCAAACGAATGCAAAAAAATTCATATGGATAGTGTTGCATGATCGCACAATTGTCATTCAAAGTGTGATAGCACTGAAAGCTGAAAATTGGCCTGGACAGGAAGGGGGTGGAAGTGTCCGGACTGGAAGTGGTTAAAGTACTGTTGTGTTTTTTTTTTTTTGTGATTTGCTTTAACAATTGTGTTTTGCAGGAGGACAGAAACCTCAACACCAACAAGAAGCCAGCACTAAAGAAACTAACCTTGCTTCCTACAGTTGTAATGCATCTTAAAAAGTAAGAATACACTTTCACATGCCTGTGCTGCAAATGCTGTAGTATAACTTTTATTTACCAATTTGTGTTCTTCCATGTATATTGTTTATTTTTCTTTAGACAAGACTTGAAAGAAACCTTTATTGACAGTGGTGTTATGTCTGCTATTAAAGAGTGGCTCACACCCCTTCCCGATCGAAGCTTGCCAGCCTTAAAGATCCGTGAGGAACTGCTGAAGATCCTGCAAGAGGTGGGATTGCTGTCTGTTTTTAGGTGGTCACTTGCATTTATTTTACACTTGTGGCTAAAGCCAAACTCTGATTTTCGTTTTCCTATTTTAATCACTCATATTTTTGTTTTTTCCCTAGCTCCCCAGTGTAAGTCAGGAAACTTTAAAACACAGCGGCATTGGAAGAGCTGTTATGTATCTGTACAAGCATCCAAAAGAGACAAGACCAAACAAGGATATTGCTGGAAAGCTAATAAGTATGTAGGACAGATCTTGTATATGTGTATTGCAGGTTTAATTGGAGTATGTGTTTCTCTTAGAATAAGAGAACCATAGTCTTGTTACCTTGTAGTTTGTTTAACTGGTTGCCGACCAGCCACAGTGTTTTTACTGAGGCAGGGCGGCACCGCTGCGCAGAACGCCGTTATTAAACGTCAGTCTGCAAAACCGGTAGGGGGCGTGCGCCCCGCCCTAACCGCCATGCCGATCACGGCAGCGGGTGTCATTCACCGGGTCCCGCCAATCACTGACGGAGCATGGCTGCAGTGTTTACACTGCAAGTCTGCTATCTGTCAGTTCTGAGCACACGCTGATCCTGAGAGAAGAGTTTTTATCTCTCCAGATCAGCGTCTGGTGAAGCACACACCCCCGCCCCCTAGTAAAACACTCCCCTCACACAGTTAACCCTTTCGTTACCTAAAAAAAGTTAACCCCTTCCTCCCCAGTGCCATTAGTACAGTGTCAGTGTTTTTTTTTTTTTTTTTTTTTGCACTGATCACTGTATTGGTGTCACTGGGATGTCAGTGACCCCAAGTCAGTTCCCCCCCCCCCCCCATTGTCAAAATGTCCGCCGCAGTCCCGCCATAAGTCACTGATCGCTGCCATAAGTCATGTCGGGATTTTTTTTTTAGCAAAGACATGTCGCAGAATACATTTTGGCTGAGATTTATGACAAAATTTTATTTATACCATTTTTTTTTCCTGGACATGTTTTATAGCAAAAAGTCCAAAATATTGTTTTTGTTTGTTTTTTTTTTTTTCAATTGTCAGACTTTTTTTTTTTTTTTTTTTTTTTATAGCGCAACAAATAAAGAAACGCACAGGCGATCAAATACCACCGAAAGAAAGCTCAATTTGTGGGGAAAAAAAGGATATAAATTTAATTTGGGTGCAGTGTTGCATGACCGCGCAATTGTCAAAGTAACGCAGCGATGTAACACAAATCGTTTTTCTGTAACCGCTTCTTGACCGCCCTACAGCAGAAATACTGCTACAGGGCGGCATGGGTGCACAAAATCACATATATACGTAATTCGCGCTCCCGTGGTTTTCACGCTCCTCTCAGATTGCCTGTCAGTACACCAGTCATCACATTTAACCCCTTGATTGCCAGGAACACGCTCATGCACAATAAACCTCAATTGCTAGTATAGTGTCTGAACGGATCAATATCTTTGAGCAGATCAGCACTATACCAGCGTTCACATTAGTATAGCGTCCCCAAAAACGCAGCGTTATGCAGGCCATAGATGGGTCGAAAATCCGGCTGTTTTAAAAAAAAAAAAAAAACAAAAAATCAGTCATTCAGTAGGCCAACGTAACCACCAACTGTAAAAAAAAATCGGCCGATTTTTTTCCTCCTGGTCTACTGCCGGCATTTAATTAACCACTTCCAGACCGGACACTTTTACCCCCTTCCTGACCAGGGCAATTTTCAGCTTTTAGCGCTATCACACTTTGAATGATAATTGCGCGGTCATGCAACACTGTACCCAAATGAATTTTTTACCATTTTTTTTAGATAGATAAAGCTTTATTTTGGTGGTATTTATTCACCACTGGGATTTGTATTTTTTTTTGCTATGTAAATGAAATGTCCAAAAATTTTTTTTAAAAAGTGTTTTTTTTTTTTTAAAATTTTGCAAATAAATAATATTTCATCATAAATCTTAGCCAAAATTTATTCCGTTATCTTTTTAGTAAAAAAAAAAAAAAAAAAAATCCAAATTAGTTTATAAGCAAAAATTATAATTTTTAAACCTTTTTTTTACATTTTTATTTTATTTTTTTATATTATTATTTTTTTTTTTTTTTTTTTTTTTTACATACCGTCACCCTAGCAGTACAGTGTCCATGGTGACACTGTACTACTTGTGAGGGGTGATAAAGATTTTTTTTTTTTTTTTTTTTTTTTACACTGATTGCTTTTACACCCATATAGGATGTAAAAGCAATCATTTCTCTTTCTCTCTGTGTGCATTCCTGCACTCATTGAGAAATACAGAGTGAGCTGTGATTGGTCACAGCTTGTCACATGGTACAAGGCTGTTGTGAATAGCCTTGTACCATGTGACCTCTGTGATCATTCACAGATTTCACACATAGTAAGCAATGATGTCAGAAGTGACATCTTGCTTACTACTTTGCATGTGATCACTGTGTCTGGAGGACACAGCAGGCACCGGATCGCGGTGCTGCGCGCTCCCAGGGAGCGCGCACAAGCAGGGTGCGGGGAGGCCGTTTATAGACGGCCACCCGACCCTGCAGTGCCACCCTCCGGCCGTTTATATACAACGGCCGGTCAGGAAGTGGTTAAGTCCCTTGCAGAGAGCTCTGCTATTATATTTGACATTAAAAAGTATTGTGGTTGCAACAATGTATCCATTTGGGATACAGATGTTTTTATTCGGATACAAATAGATACATTGTTCCAACCGCAATTCTTTTTCATGTCAAATATAATAGCGGACTGGAATTCTTCTTTTTCTTCTTCTTGCAGGTCACGGCTCATGCGTAGATTTTTTTTTTTATCGGTAAAACGATTTTTTTCCAACTTCACCGATTAAAAAAAAAAAAAAAAAAAAAAAAAAGTGCCAAAACCCCGAAAAACAGCCAACCAATTAACCCACCAACGGTGCGAAAATCGGCCAATTTTTTTTTGGGGCCGTAAAATTGGCCGATTTTCGATCCCTTTTCCATATGGAGTACCTCTTATGCGTGGACAATTTTTATTCAAGCGTGGCACATATAACCAACAAGGATCAACGATGTACTGGTACATCACTGGACTTTGAATGGTTATACCAGGATGATGCCTACAGCTGCAGGCATTATCCTGGTATCGGTTTTTTTTTTCAGCCGGCGATTGGCTTTCATGTAAAAGCAATCCTAGTGGCTAATTAACTGCAGGATTGCTTTTACAAGCAGCGGGAGATGATGCGCCCCCCCCCCCCCCCCCCCCCCGCTGCCTCCCACGGCCCCACGGCCTCTCGCAGTCCCGTGCACTCAAGGGGAACCTGAGAATGCAGCCGGTGTTTCTGCCAGCTGACCATAGAGCTGATTGGAGACCAGAGTGGTGCCAATCATCTCTAAAGTCTAAGAATTCGGAAGCTACAAGCATTTCATCACTTCAGTTTCGCAGGATATGAACAGTGCCATTTGTAAATTGGGAAATCATCTGATCGCACCGATTTTGGATTGATTAGATAATGTAAGGGCAGAGGAGATATCTAGAGTCTGATAGACCCCAAATTTCTCAAAAAAAGAATATATGACAATGCCCATTGAAGTTATAGGGGATATTTGCAGTCCCTGTGATAGCATTAAAAGTGATCTCAAAAAAAAAAAAAAAAAAAAAAAATGAAAGGTACAGTGTAAAAATAATAAAAAGCTAAATAACTAAAAGAAAAAAAAAATCGCCTCTCCCATGCGCGCACACCTGTGTGCACAAGCCTTGACCCTGTGCCGGTATGTAAACAGCGGTTGAACCATGCATGTGAGGTTTCGCTGTGAACGTCAGATCAAAGGCAGTAATTCTAACACTAGATCTCCTCTGTAAATCTAAAATGGTAGCTTTTAAAGCGTTGCCTATGGATATTAAAAATGTTTGCAGTTTGTCGCCATTGCACGGGGCATGCACAGTTTTAAAGCATGTCATGTTTGGTATCTATTTACTTGGCATACCATTATCCTTTATATTTTACCAAATAATTGGCCAATATATTGTGTTTTTGTGCATTTAAAAGTAAAAAAAGTGTTTTTTTTTTTTTTGTTTTTTTTTAAATTTGTGTTTGAAAAATCGCTGCGTGAGTACTATGTGCCATAAAAAATTGTAGTACCCACCATTTTATTCACTAGGGTGTCTGCTTTAAAATAATATATAATGTTTGGGGGTTTAAATTAATTTCCTAGCAAAAAATACTGATTTTCTTTTTTTTCATGTGAACAAAAAGTGTCAGAAAAGGCTTGATCTTCAGGTGGTTAGAAGAGTGAGTGATGTGTAGCATAAACTTCTAATGCTGGGCATAGAATGCCCCCACCCCCCAAAAACGACCCCATTTTGGAAAGTAGACACCCCAAACTATTTGCTGGAGGCATGTTGAATCAATAGAAGAATTTTATTTTTTTACCACAAGTTTTTGGAAAATGACAAAAAAAAATATATTTTATAAATGATTTACTGCTCACACATGCCATAGGTATATGTGGAATTACTCCCCAAAATACATTCTGCTACTTCTCCCGAGTATGGGGGTACCACATGTGAGAGACGTTTTGGCAGTCTAGCCAAGTACCAGGACCCAAAAATCCAATAAGCACCTTCAGGCTTTTACAGGGCTTTATTTCCTCAATACACTTCCAGACTACCTATCACAGTTTTGGAGGTCCTGAAATGCCAGGATAGCACCTCAACCACCCAAATGACCCCTTTTTGGAAAGTAGACACCCCAAGGAATTTGATAAGCACGGTAAGTATTTTGCAGATCTCATTTGTTGCCAAAAGTTTTTGGAAAATGAAGAAAAAAAACAAAAAAAACATATTTTTTCTATTCTTTTTTTATATTTCAAAACCTTGTGAGAAAAAAATGAGATCTGCAAAATACTCAAATACTCATCATGCCTCTTTTTAAATTCCATGGGGTGTCTACTTTCCAGAAAGGGGTCATTTGGGGGGGGGTTTGGTGCTATCCTGGCATGTCAGGGCCTTCGAAACTGTGATAGGTAGTGAGGAAGTGTAATGAAGTTACGCACCTTAAGTCTTTCAAAGTCGTCATTGGATTTCAGGCTCCTGTATGTGGCCAGGCTCCCAAAAAGTCTCACACACGTGGTATCCCCATACTCTGTAGAAGTAGCAGAATGTATATTGGGGTGTAATTCCACATATACCCATGGCTTGTGCGAGAAATAATTTAAATGACAACTTTGTGTGTAAAAAAAAAAAAAAAAAAAGTTTTTTGTCATTTTCCAGAAACTTGTGGAAAAAAAATAAATCTTCCATGGACTCAATATGCCTCTCAGCAGATAGCTTAGGGTGTCTACTTTCCGAAAAGGGGTCATTTGAGGGTGTTTGTACTATCCTGGTATTTTAGCACCTCAAGAAATGTGATGGGCAGTCAGAAAGTAAAAGCTGTGCAAATTCCATTATCTATACCATAGTTTGTAGACGCTATAACGTTCACACAAAGCAATAAATATACTTACTGGGATTTTTTTAACCAAAAACATGTAGCAAAATACATTTTGGCCTAAATTTATGACAAAATTTTAGTTTTTTTGGATATTTTTTATGACCGAAATGAGAAAATTTTGTGTTTTTTTTCAAAAAAATTTTTCTTCAAAATTTTTCTGGTTATAGCGCCAAAAATAAGCGCACAGGTGATCAAATACCACCAAAAGAAAGCTCTATTTATGTGAAAAAAGGACATAAATTTAATTTATGTACCTATTGCATGGCCAGCGCTGTATAGCAAAAACATGGCGTAAATTGCAGTATCTATACCATAGTTTGTAGACGCTATAACTTTCACACAAAGCAATCAATATACACTTATTGGGTTTTTTTTTTACCAAAAACATGTAGCAGAATACATTTTGGCCTAAATTTATAACTAACTTTGAGTTTACTATATATTTTTTATAGCTGAAAGTAAAAAATATAATTTTTCTTCCAAATTTTTGGTCTTTTTTTGTTTATCGTGTGAAAAATAAAAAGCGCACAGGTGATCAAATACCACCAAAAGAAAGCTCTATTTGTGTGAAAAAAAGGATGTAAATTTTATTTGGGTGCAGCATTGCATGACCGCGCTATTATCAGTTGAATTAGTGCAGCGCCGTGTAGCAAAAAGTAGTCAGGAAGGGGGGTAAATCCTCAGGAGGGCAAAGTTGTTAAATATTATGTAAAGTATTGAAAAAAACCCTGCTTATACAGGAGTATTTAGTTTTTGCCTGTAGAAGCAGCTAATGTTATTCTATGTGTCCACACATAGTAGGCCGTTTAGATGCATTTTTTTTAAGCTTAGTGTTTAGAGGCCGAAAAAAAATACACCCCTTTTGTGTTTTTTGAGAGCAGTTTTTTAGAAGCTCCTAAACTCCCGTACAAAAATGCTCTATATGACTGTTTTTTTCTGCCAAGGGAACTAGCATATTTTTAAGCACAGTGTGCATGGATCCTAAAGCCTTTTTTTTTTTTTTTCTGAAAAATAAAGCAGTTAGAACTTGAAAATTTGGATAGACTGTAAAAGAGAACGAGTGTGTTTTTTTGTGCATGTGGGTCTCCACTGAGGTGACCGCCTTTCACTTTTTTTTTTTGAAGAAGAAGAAATGTTACCTCTGGAAATGAAAATTGCATGCAACAATTCAAACAGATGAACGGGATCCACGTAATGACATCCAAACACCAGATGATTTATTGAAAGTTTAAGGCATAAATTCAAGAGTGGGAAAATAATAATTTGATTCAATTCATACTGTAGTTCTTAATCAGAAGGCGTTATTTAGGTGATATTTTCCCAATGCTGATGTAATTAATATAAAGTAATCCTCTGGTGTTGTGGATGTCATTTTGTATTATAGTCATTTGAATTGTCCATTTTCAACTGTACAAAAACTTAACAGAATGTCTAAGCACTCTTCCCCCACTCTATCCACAGGCTAATTAACCACTTGCCTACCAGGCACTTATGCCCCCTTCCTGCCCAGGCCAATTTTCAGTTTTCAGCGCTGTCGCACTTTGAATGACAGTTGCACAGTCATGCAATATTGTACTCATATGAAGTTTTTATCATTTTTTTTCACACAAATAGAGCTTTCTTTTGGTGGAATTTAATCTCCGCTGGGTGTTTTTATTTTTTTGTGGTATAAACAGAGTGAAAAATTAAAAAAACAATTTTTTTTCTTTTCTCTGTTTCTCCACTGATGTGCATTGATGAGGCTGCACTGATAGGCAGCACTGCTGGGTGGCACTGACTGCTGGACACTGATCATCAGTGCCTTGACAATTGGTGCTGAACTGTCCTCTGACAATTACTGGTTATCGGCAGTACTTTCCTCACACTGTGACAGCGTGAGGAATGAGCAGCTGATCACCGGTAAATGCAGTTGCTGGTTATCAGCTGGACACAGCTGATAACGTGGTGATTGGCCTTTTAACACATCACGTGATCAGCTGTGTCCATGGGACACAGCAGTCACGGAGATCGCTGGGCGCGTACCCATGGGGGCATGCGGGAAGGCGCGTTCTAAGGCGACGTCATATGACTCCTCCCAGAATTGGACGTCCGCGTGTAGCCGTCATTCGTCTATAGCACGGTTGGCAAGTGGTTAAGAGCTGTGGCCAAGTCACGTAATGTCCAGCCTGCCTTTCTGTACAGCAGTACAATGGTTGGTTATTATGTCCATTTTCATCACAGTCTGAAGAATAATTGTTGGCTTTGTATGACCTGCTGCAAAAATGTGTGTTGCCAAGTTTTCCTGCAGGTACCATATGAGTACACCAGCAGTAAGATATATGTTAAATATTTATACTAATAGCTGTTTGATGTGTTCTTGGTATGTTTAGATGAATGGTCACGTCCTATCTTTGGACTGAGCTCCAATTATAAAGGGATGACTAGAGAGGAGAGGGAGCAGAGAGATCTGGAGCAAATGCCACAGCGCAGAAGAATGAGTAGGTAAATTGTCTGCTTTTTTTATAACTTTTTTTTTTTTTTTTTTAAACACTCATCGAACTACAGATCTTGTTGGGTAACATATTGGCAGTACTTGAATCTATGTTCATTTTTCTTCTTTCTCTGCAGTTCGGGTGGCCAGACACCTCGGAGAGACCTGGAAAAGGTGTTAACAGGAGAAGAGAAGTGAGTGTTTGATTGTACTCAATTCATTTTTATTCCAACTTTCTAAATGTTTTTGTGTACCATGTGATGTTGCCAATTTAGATGCAAAGTTCTTGATAAAACATCTAAAAATCTTATGTGATTTTACTGGCGTAATCCACAGTTTTGCTGCGTGACAATGGAAGCCGTAGTCAACCTCTTCAAAGCACAATAGTCAAATATAAGGGGAATATTGTTTTAATTACTTAAGAAATGGCTATATATACCAAATTTAAGTAATTCTGTGATTAGTGAATTTAAATCTAGTTTTATTAATCTTGGTGTTTCCTAATATCTTTGTGGTTTCTGAGATTTTTCTGCTTGCTCTGGTCTTATCAAGCCAAGCATGCAAATTTCATCTTGAGCCTTATTCTAAAGCTCTAGCATGGCACTATTCTTTGAAAGGGTGCTTGACAGGTCCAGTGAACCCTGAGGGGGAGCCATGCACCTGAAGGACCTTAGGGCATTCCCATTGTGATGGGTGAAAATTGGGTTTTGGAAAAGCCCTGCAGTCTTGATTGATGAGTTCCTCCGTGTGGTGTGGATGTCTTACAGTCAGGTCCATAAATATTGGGACATCAACACAATTCTAACATTTTTGGCTCTATACACCACCACAATGGATTTGAAATGAAACAAACAAGATGTGCTTTAACTGCAGACTGTCAGCTTTAATTTGAGGGTATTTACATCCAAATCAGGTGAACAGTGTAGGAATTACAACAGTTTGCATATGTGCCTCCCACTTGTTAAGGGACCAAAAGTAATGGGACAGAATAATAATCCTAAATCAAACTTTCACTTTTTAATACTTGGTTGCAAATCCTTTGCAGTCAATTACAGCCTGAAGTCTGGAACACATAGACATCACCAGACGCTGGGTTTCATCCCTGGTGATCCTCTGCCAGGCCTCTACTGCAACTGTCTTCAGTTCCTGCTTGTTCTTGGGGCATTTTCCCTTCAGATTTGTCTTCAGCAAGTGAAATGCATGCTCAATTGGATTCAGGTCAGGTGATTGACTTGGCCATTGCATAACATTCCACTTCTTTCCCTTAAAAAACTCTTTGGTTGCTTTTGCAGTATGCTTTGGGTCATTGTCCATCTGCACTGTGAAGCAGCGTCCAATGAGTTCTGAAGCATTTGGCTGAATATGAGCAGATAATATTGCCCGAAACACTTCAGAATTCATCCTGCTGCTTTTGTCAGCAGTCACATCATCAATAAATACAAGACAACCAGTTCCACTGGCAGCCATACATGCCCACGCCGTGACACTACCACCACCATGCTTCACTGATGAGGTGGTATGCTTAGGATCATGAGCAGTTCCTTTCATTCTCCATACTCTTCTCTTCCCATCACTCTGGTACAAGTTGATCTTGGTCTCATCTGTCCATAGGATGTTGTTCCAGAACTGTGAAGGCTTTTTTAGATGTCGTTTGGCAAACTCTAATCTGGCCTTACTGTTTTTGAGGCTCACTAATGGTTTCCATCTTGTGGTGAACCCTCTGTATTCACTCTGGTGAAGTCTTCTCTTGATTGTTGACTTTGCCACACATACACCTACCTCCTGGAGAGTGTTCTTGATCTGGCCAACTGTTGTGAAGGGTGTTTTCTTCACCAGGGAAAGAATTCTTCGGTCATCCACCACCGTTGTTTTCCGTGGTCTTCCGGGTCTTTTGGTTTTGCTGAGCTCACCGGTGCATTCCTTCTTTTTAAGAATGTTCCAAACAGTTGTTTTGGCCACGCCTAATGTTTTTGCTATCTCTCTGATGGGTTTGTTTTGTTTTTTTCAGCCTAATGATGGCTTGCTTCACTGATAGTGACAGCTCTTTGGATCTCATCTTGAGAGTTGACAGCAACAGATTCCAAATGCAAATAGTACACTTGAAATGAACTCTGGACCTTTTATCTGCTCATTGTAATTGGGATAATGAGGGAATAACACACACCTGGCCATGGAACAGCTGAGAAGCCAATTGTTCCATTACTTTTGGTCCCTTAACAAGTGGGAGGCACATATGCAAACTGTTGTAATTCCTACACCGTTCACCTGATTTGGATGTAAATACCCTCAAATTAAAGCTGACAGTCTTCAGTTAAAGCACATCTTGTTTGTTTCATTTCAAATCCATTGTGGTGGTGTATAGAGCCAAAAATGTTAGAATTGTGTCGATGTCCCAATATTTATGGACCTGACTGTATGTGTCAGTCCTCCTTTTGGCTGTGTTTTCTCTAGCTTCAGGGACCTTGGACTGCATGCTGCTAATAGAGGGACAGCCTGTGTAGTATATGGGGCTGTCTTTTACTTCGTGGTGGTGCTCATTAAGGGCAGGTCTAGCTGCATGGCATGTGTTTACCACTGAGTCCTGCGAGAGGAAATATACTCCAAAGATCTGCAAGTCCAGATATACAAGTCCTCTCCTCAGTGAAGGGGTGCCCCCATCCTCATGGATGCTATCAAACTTCGTGGTTGCCTAGTGTCAGAAAATTGCAGACAAATGGGTTTACAGCGTGGTGTCCAGAGGATACAAGCTGGAGCTCTGAAAGTTTTCTCTCTCCACGTCCGGAGCTTCAAAATAGAGTGCTTTTGTTTGCAGCAGTGGAAAGATTTCTGTTTTAGGGGTGTCAACATGCCTGTGCCAGAAGAGATTTCACAATTTTATTTTATTTTTTTCAAACCTATCTATTCTTACCAAGCTCATTAGAAATATGTAGGGGCCCATTCTAGACCTCAAGGGTCCAACAAATTCCTGCAATTGAAAAACATTCAGGATAGAGTCATCTGGTGTATGATTGCTTTGCTTCAGCAGAGGGACTGCCTCTCATCAGTGGTTTTCAAGTATGCCTAGCTGCACATTCCAATTTTTTTTAGCCTTCTCAATGGTTGCAACGTGCAGGATCTTAACTACCAGTTTGTGGTGTTGCTATTCAGCCTTTCTGCTGCTCTCAAAGCATTTACCAAGGCTCTGATTCTGTAATTAAGGGCCTAGGGTATCCCCATATTGGAGTACCTAGACAACATATTTAAAGTGGTTGTAAAGGCTCAAGGGTTTTTTTACCTTCATGCAGTCTATGCATGAAGGTAAAAAAAAAAACACCTTTTTGATGAGGCACCCCCTAATACTTACCTGAGCCCCATCGCAATCCTGTGAGCCTCGGCTCTCTGGAGACTCTACTTCCTCATTGGCAAGACAATAGCAGGAGCATTGGCTCCCACTGCTGCCAGTCGCAGTCCAGTGAGTCAATGAGAAGAGAGAGAGAGAGGAGGCGGGACCGCAGCTCTGTGTATGAATTGACACACAGAGCAGCGGCTTGGGAGCGAACCTGCTTGGGTGACCCCATAGCAACCTGCTTGCTCTGGGGTCACTCAGATGGCAGGGGCCAGGAATGCCAGCGGGGGACCCGAGAAGAGGAGGATCGCGGCTGATGCTGTATGCAAAACCACTACATAGAGCAAGTAGGTATGACTTTTTTTTTTTTTTTTTTTTTTTTTTTTAAACTTGCCTTTAATATCACTGTAAGAGCAATCGGCTCAGACCTTGATGTCCAATATCTATTAGATGGTGCAGTTCAGTTGGGTACTGAACCTCCAGAAGTCTGCTTTGGGCCCAGTGCAACATCTGGAATATTTAGGCCTAGTACTGGACATGGCTCCATTCAAGACAGTGACTGTCCCTCTGATCTTTGAAGTCCCTGAGGGTTCTGGAAAATCCCCAATCTGCTTTTACAGGAGGGTGCTGGGAATGATGGTTGCTACCTCTGATGTGGCTCTTGGGGCAAACTCAGGCAGTCTTTGGATCTCTCCATGCATCCAAATCCCAAGACTGGGTCAGCTCTGCTATACTGGATCTCATAAGGGATGCTGGATGCAGGGAAAGTTGTACGCTCTGATAATTTGGAAAGTTCTGACAGTGGATGCCAGGAGTTCTGGAGAACCTCACTGTGCAGGCAATTCAACTGTCTCTCCAGCATTGGTCTGCTTGCCTTCGGGGTCACCATGTCTGGGTGCAGTTAGTGCCACGATGGTTGCATATACTAATCACCGTGAAAGAACATGAAGCCACGCTGCACAAAAGGAGTTGGACATAATCTTGTTCCAGCTCTTTCAGCCATCAACTGCTGAATTGAAGCAAGTTGTCCCTTCACCCAGAGGGATCCTTGAGTGTTTGCGGTGAATGCCCTAATGACTCTTTGGGTTCAGTTTTCTGATTTTATACATTCCTTCTGCTTCGCAAGATAACAGCAAAAGGTGATCCAGCTATTCTTATTGTTTTGACCTAGTGATGAATGTGGTGTGTAGACATTGTTAATATGCTGGTTTCAGAGCCCTGGACTCTCCAAGATGATCATCATCTACTATCGCATTGACTGATATTCCATTCTGCTTTATAGTCACTGCCTTTCACTGCATGGCTGTTCAAGTCCACGTCATGAGGGACATGGACATCTTCCATAATGTCATAGGCCTGAGAAATAAGGTGAGGTGTCCACTGAAAAATAGGGCATAAAGCAGTAACCAAACCCTCAGGCAGAACAGAGACTTCTGATATGAAGCTGCAGCGTTCAGATAAATCCACATAGCTCAGACCACATCCAAGACAAAAGTATTGTTACACAATAAGGTTGATTTACTAAGGCAAATAGACTGTTCAATTTGCAATTGAAGTTGTGCTTTGCAAGGGAATTTTCATCAGAGCCTAGTGAAAGGTGAAGCTCAGCTGACTTCCATCATCCAGTTATGTGAAGAAAAACTTTTTTTTTTTTTTTTTGCAGGTGATTGAGTATTTGTTGCAAAGTGACATTTTACTACGTTCAGTAAACTCTGGGGAAAATTCCCATGTAATGTGCAACTATCCTTGTAAAGTGAAAAGCCAATTTTGTCTTTAGTAGATCACCATCAAAGTCCTGGTTCAGGTGAAAAGAAACAACCTTAGGAAAAGAGCACAGCCAGTGCCAACTGAGGTTTAAGAGGAGCTACAGAAAAGGGCACAGAATAGCATGACAGCGACTCTTTCACAGTTTTGCGAACACTAAAAATTCTAATGACATTTCATAAACTTATACAACCATTTGATGCTTGCACAGTAAATGTCATATTAATCATCCAACATTTTGTGCAACCCGGGGAATATTTTGAGAGGGAATTTGTATTTAGCTTTACTAAAATAAATGTGTGTGTGTGTTGCCAAAAGTATTGGGACACCCCTCCAAATAATTGGATTCAGGTGTATAAAGTCAAGCACCTAGGGATGCACACTGCTTCTACAAACATTTGTGAAAGAGTTGTCTCGCTCTCAGAAGCTCAGTGAATTCAAGCGTGGTGCCGTAATAGGTTGCCACCTGTGCAATAAGTCCGTCCGTGAAATTTCATTGCTACTGAATATTCCACGGTCAACTGTTAAGGGTAATATAATAAAGTGGAAGCAACTGGGAACCACAGAAGCTCAGCCTCGACGTGGTAGGCCACGTAAAATGAAAGAGCGGGGTCAGTGTATGCTGAAGCTCACAGTGCGCAGAAGTCGCTAACTGTCTGCAGAGTCAATAGCTAAAGTCCTCCAAACGTCGTGTGGCCTTCAGATTAGCACAACAGTGCATAGAGAGCTTCATGGAATGGGTTTCCATGGCCGAGCAGCTGCATCTAAAGCCTTACATCACCAAGTGCAATGCAAACAGTTGGATGCAGTGGTGTAAAGCATTCCGCCACTGGAGTGTAGAGCAGTGGAGATGTGTTTTCCGGAGCAACGCATCACGCTTCTCTGTCTGGCAATACAATGGACATGTCTGGGTTTGGTGGTTGCCAGGAGAACGGTACTTGCCTGACTGCATTGTGCCAAGTGTTAAGTTTGGTGGAGGGGGGATTTTGGTGTGGGGTTGTTTTTCAGGGGTTGGGCTTGGCCACTTAGTTTCAGTGAAGGGAATTCTTAAGGCATCCGCTTACCAAGACATTTTGGACAATTTCATGCCCCCAACTTTGGGAGAACAGTTAGGGGATGGCCCCTTCCTGTTCCAACATGACTGCACACCAGTGCACAAAGCAAGGTCCATTAAGACATGGATGAGCAAGTTTGTGGTGGAGGAACTTGACTGGCCTGCACAGACTCCTGACCTCAACCCGATAGAACACCTTTAGGATGAATTAGAGGGGAGGCTGCGAACCAGGCCTTCTCGTCCGCCATCCGTGCCTAACCTCACAAATGCGCTTCTGAAGAAATGGCCAAACATTCCCATAGACACACTCCTAAACCTTGTGGACAGCCATCCCAGAAGAGTTGAAGCTGTTATAGCTGCAAAGGGTGTGGCCAACTCCATATTGAACCCCACGGACTAAGACAGGGATGCCATTAAAGTTTATGTACGTGTAAAGGCAGGCATCCCAATACTTCTGGCAATATTGTGCATTTGTGTGTGTATATGTATTTGATGCAATCCTTTACAGGCTCCTCACACAAGTTATAAGCAGATTGCTAATGCTTTGCTGGTCTCCTGCACACTGTTAGTATATCTGCTTGCTCGTACATCCCGTATGGGCAAGCCGATACTTGATGACAGAATCAATGAGCTCACAGCGCTGTGGTAGTTTGAGGACTGCAAGCCAACAGCCGCCAAGGCTGTCGGAACATGTAGTCCATTCATTCACAGAGCACTGTGAATTAATGATGTGATCATGTGGGCGGAGCTGTAAGATTGGGAACATGTTCCACCCAAAAAATGGATAGAACATGTACCATGTTCCCAAAGGTGAACTTCTCTTTTAACTAAAGAAATAAATTGTATATTTTTAGGAGTTTGTATCCTGGAGAGATTTCAGATTGTTTTAACATTGGCCTTTCAATTTTGTTCAGGGCATTACGACCCGGCGACCCAGGTTTCTGTGCTCGTGCCCGTGTTCCAATGCCTTCTAATAAGGATTATGTAGTTCGACCAAAGTGGAATGTGGAAATGGAAGCTTCTCGGGTAAGTTAATAGCCCATGTTTAATGACCATATATCTGGCTATCCCTTAAAAAAAAAAAACACTTGAACCACTTTTCTCTTTACTGTTCTTCCTTTGAATGAGTGGCCTTTTGATAGAACTTCTCTCTAAGGAAGTGACTTAGTACTGAACATTTTTTGCTACTCTCCTGTGCCCTTCCTTTTCCTCCTTTTCTTTTTGTTCTTTCACTTATTATGATGGAATCCTGAGTCAGTTTGGAGGGGCTCGTAAAGGTATTAGTCGTCTGGAGAAGCACAAAAGACGTTTTGCTGAACAGAAAAGGCTCACTAAAACTACTCGTGCCGTCAAATTCAGCATAGAGGGGAACAGGATGCCCCTGTGATACTGGAGCCAAGAACCTCACTGAGTCTCCATGAGAGGTAGCATCACATACCACCTCAACTGGTGTAAGAAGAGAAGGGTGTGCTGTGCATGCACCTTTTAATCTGCTGCTGAGACCATTCCCACTAACATCACTTGGCTGATTTGTGAAAACTAAAGCAATTAAAAATTAGGGCTCTTGCCCATAGCATCTGCTCAGCTTTCATTTTATGTTGGAGTAAAAATGACAGCTGGAATCTGGTTACTGTGGAAACTGCTCCACTTTTCTTTGCTCTAGTTAATATGAATGAGCCTCAATAAGTCAGATCATCAGCATTGCTTAATAGGCATGGGTTCACTTTTAGGAGAAAAATATTGCGGTAATGTAGTTTGCCTTGACATGTTTGTGTGTGGTCAGGTTGGTCCTATCTTGATGTACCAGTTGTTCTAAACAATCTTTGAACTTTCTACATGTACAGTAGATTACTCATCGGTTAACCTTTTTACCCTGTATAAGTTAAATACTTAGCATTTTGTAACGCTTTATTTTTCATTTTGTTAATACGATCAAGTGTTCTTACTCTTCATATAGCTGTGCACAGCACCAAGACCACAACACTACTGTAACAAAGACCGCTTCGGTTTATAACCGCAGAAAAAGCACTAAAGCATCAGTGTATACGTAGAACATTTCAGATCACTTGCAAGAAAGCAAATAATTTTGGAACTGAAAAAATTCTTCTTTTGAACAGGATTTAGATGATCCTAGAATGTTTGAGCTGATTTTAAAATGTGTGCAGCTTTTCTGATTTTTCAGTACAATGTTTTTAATACTACTTTGAATAATATAAATAAAATTTTAATAAAAGACAGTTAACGGTGCCCAAACCCATTAAGTTGATTACCACAACGTCAAGATCTATGATAACACATGAATGCCTTGTTTTATTTTGAACTTTATTCACTAAAATTTCTTGATAGTCATACACTTGCGTGTATCATTTGCTTTCATGGAACATGCATGCACTGCAGGCTGTGGTGGTGGTAAACGCAGTTACTTGCATGTGTGTGCTTCTACTAAGAAATGGAATATGACATAGTAGGCATCAGTGTTGGAAATAACGCCTTAAAGTAAACTTTTCCATATAAATATGTAAACCTGCATAATCAGTGAAAGGCAGGAACCATCTAGCGCCTGTAGGGACCTCCTTAATATATTTTTAAATACCTTGGGACCCTTAAACTGTGTCACTCTACCATCTTTGGGAATTAAAACTGAAGACTAGCACCCCCACTAATCTCCCCCCCCCCCCCCCTCATTTCCATTATTGTCAGTCTTAAAAGAGGATTAGAAGACTCCGTATCCAGTAATTACGCAAGAGAGGGGTAGGTCAGCCATCAAGGTTGCTTCTCAAAGATGCCTATCAGAATGCCTTGGACTTTCAGATCCTGGGGTTTTTTATTAGATATTAAAAGGCATATGAAGGCAGCAGAGTGTCTGCTTTTCAATGATATCACGGTTCTACATTGCATTATTTAAAGAGGTTTGCTTTTAAACCCTTTTGTTTTTAATGAATCTGTCATGTAACATGTACAAACCAATCCTTTCTTTTTATCAGGGAAATGCAAAGAAAGGAGTGAGTCGATTGGACAAACAGATGAGGAAGTTCACAGACATCCGTAAGAAGAGCCGAACTGCCCATGCTGTGAAGATCAGTATAGAGGGGAACAAGATGCCATTGTGACACCTGCTATTCTCTTGTGTCAGGATAGTGATGGGCCTCTTTATGAACTCTTTGTTGGTCCCATTGTACTATCACTAAATTGGACTCTGTGGAGCCTTTTGCAATATTTTTAATGCATTTTCCCTCCTCCCTGTAAATGTGTTCTATGCCTTTCAGGAGACCTGGCTTCTTCTGTGCTTTCTCAGTCATGGAGAGAACTAGGCCCCTGTTTTTGGGCCATATTTAATGCTGTTTGTACAGATTAATTTCTCTTCGTACCTCAGTGTCTGGATTTCGGACAATAAAATTCTATCTTGTTTTTTCTAACGCTATCTTCGTTTTTCAAACGCAATCGTAAGACTTTTACGTTTTAGAGGATGCATGGTTCCAGTGCAAATAGAAAATAATTTATTTGTTTTGTTTTTTGTTGTGTTTTTTTATTGTTTTTTTGTTTTTGTTTTTTTTTTACTTACGTGTTATACAATTTTACATGCAATGTTGAAACCGTTTAAAAGAGGAGAAATTTTTAAAGCCGTAAAAATCAGTATGCCCCCTATTCAGATTCTGTAGAATGAGCATGCTTTTTCAGTGAAGTGTTGTTTGTGCTAAAGATCAGCAAAAATTACCAGGTAAGAGACTGAATAATTCTCACATATTAAACCAGCATTTTTTTTTAAGGCAGGCTGTGTAATTAGCCCAGCCTTTAGGAGGATCAATAATAAATAAAAATCTGCTCCTTCACTGAAGCGTACCTTCTGGACAGGAAGCATAAGCCTCAGTCTTTGAGAAACCTCTAGATGAAGGAACCTCTGGATGAAGGAATGCAGGGGCACCTTTGTTCAGTACCATTGTTGGTCTGGGGGCAGGGGAGTGTTAGATGGACTACCAGATGTAGATACATTAACAAGTTAAAGCTCAACTCCAGCTTACACTTTTTATAAGCCGTTACAGCAAACTGATCATTGTAAGCACCCCTGTCAGTATTGAATGGTTTGTCTCATCCCGGTAACTGATATATCTGCAAGAGAGCTTGTTCTTTTAAAAAAAAAAAAAAAAAAAAAACAGACTTGCTGGCCAGATCACCTGATGAAAATAGAAGAAAACCTAAAAAGAATACTAATACAGCCATCACATCTATGAATTGATAAACTGCAATATAATAAATTTTTGCTTCTGGATTTAACACCACTGTAACTGAATCCCTCCCAGCAATTGGGCAGTCTATTCTGACATAACATCTTTGTTCAGAACTTGTTCTACATACTACTTCCTCTGAGTTGTAGAGAATCTGGTATATGGTGCAATCTCCTGCGTTTTGCCCCATTTTGGGATAGTTCTCTGGACATTCTATGTTCTTTGGTGGGAGATCCCCAGAATTAAAGGCAGGTTACCTGTTATCAGTCCTAGTAAATAATTATATTAATCGTACAGGACAGGAAGTCCTAGACCATAGGTATATGCCGCTATATTCAGGTGATTGGACATTAACAAAAGCTTTGCTGGAAATGCCCCCAGTTCACCCTCATATAACTCCACCCACCTCTGGGGATTCAAGCTTTTTGCTAGTGTCCTTAATTAATGCACCTTTTTGTTTTTCGTTACTGCTTTGACTGACATTCCTATAACAATCTAACAGCTTCTGGCCTCACTAGCAGTTTCGGGATCTGTTGCCCTTGATACAAATATTGGGAAACATACCTGGACCCCACAGCCGCTAGGGCTGGATCCTACAATCCTTGGCACATGGTGCAGTGAGTGTAGTTAGCTGCAGGGTGCTACATAGAGCAAGGTCCATACCTATGGCACCCAAACCCTGAAAATCCCTTTAAGCTTGGTCTCCTCCAGGAACCTGCAGCGTGGATAAGGTAAGACAAGGTTCCCCTGTATTTGTGACAGAGGCCTGTTTTTTTCCTGTGGGGTGTTATTCGTTTGTGTTATCTCCTTCTGTAAATGTCTCTACAGGAGGTCCCTGGGTTATGAACAAGATGGGGTAGTTAGGTTTTTTAAGTCTAATTTTATATGCAGGTGGGAACAGTCCATTTTTTTAAGTGTAACACCAGCCAAAATATTACAGGAGAATACAGACATCCGTAAAAAACATCAGTGACTCTAAACCCCACACCATACAGTACTGTACTAGCCAAAATAATAAATGCAAATTGGACATATGTTTGCCTTAACATATTTATTTTTACCTGTGCATGTAGATGCAGATAAATGTAAATGTATAAACATTTTCAAATAATGTACAGTACAGTCCAATCTTAAACAATCTAGGTAGATGATGATGGACTTGTTTGATAGGATGGGACTGGTATAATAGTGTCAGAATCTGATTCTGCTGCTGGAGTCAGTTTCTTGAAGTAGCCATCAAGGTTTGCACAGAGCTTTTCTTTTTCTCATAAATAGCTATGTAGCAGCTCAGGCCTTCAGTAGCTGTACGGTAAACTTTGGTGAACCTCTCTGTAGCACGGTCTTGCTCCTCTAACTTTGCAATTGCTGCTTCACTGAAACAAGAAGCATCTGCTGACTCTTTTGTAGAAAGCTTTTTTTTTTTTTTTTTTTTTTTTTTTTAATTTTGGGGTTTCTCAGTCCTGGTTTTCTTTCTTAAATGCTATCATCTGCTGCTTTAGTTCCATAAGGTCTTCATTGGTTAGTTCTTTGCCATAGGAGTCGAGTAACTCTAGGAGATAATTTTCACTGATGTCCAACTGCTGTTGATTACCAAGCAACCACAGCTTGTCTGGTTACAGCGATTTTATCTGTAAACTATGGAAATTCTTGTCTGAATTGGGGGCACAATTTGTTCCAAGCTCCTCTCATATTTGTCTTTCTGTTCATCCCAAGCATCAGCAAAATGTTTAATGGCATAAAAAATTTTAAAATTCTTCAAGTTCTCTCTTAATCATCTCATCATTTTGGTTAGCCTTGACAGCTTGTGAGAAT